TACAGGTAGGTCCCCAGCAGCCACCCGGATTTTTGATATAATAGCAGGTTTGCTCCTGCCAAAGACAAAAAAAAATCAAATTTGAAGAAAATAAAATAGACAAATGAAGCTTTAAAAAAAATAAAATAAAAATAAAAAGGCAATTAAATTCAAAAAAATAATAATTTCGTAATTATCTTAATCAAAATATTATTTCTTTGTTTGTCTGGATAGGAGTAAACTTGTCATTAAAGTCAAATCTTAGTGGCTGATGGAACATACCTGTGTCTCTTTTCCCAAATGAATCTGTGGCGACTGGGTCAAAATCTCATATTTTATCTACATTCTCCGATATGCATGATACCATCGCAGTACGTGCAAAAAATGCGAACTGGTCTCAGACATGGAAATAATAATATTAAAAAGGCCATGTAAATTTTGGAGCTATTTATGCAACTCAGACTAATGTCAGTGGGTTCTGTGTGCACGCGTCGAGATCTTGGCCATTATTGCATAGAATATCAGAACGCTTATAGGTGTAGAGAATCAGACGTTAATACGCCCTATCCAGATATAATATGGATATCGCATGCCTGTCAATTTTTATTCTAATTCTGAGTCCTTGCGGTAACTGTACCTAATTCGGATAGGAACTGCTGTGTCAGAATGATGCTTTAGATGACTCAGAAAGAAACGGAATCACGATTGTGATATCCGTAAGGACATGATCTGTTCTAATTATTTGGAATTCTTGATGGCCTGTTTGCTCACTTTCACTTTAAAGGCAAATTCTACAGTATTTCTATACTCTTATGGTGTACAGATCGTCCGGATTTTATGCCAAGCTCAACTTGCCAATAGTTTTTTTTTCTTTTTTTCAAAAAACGACATGACTATTGTAAATTTATAATGCGCTCGTAGAACAACGTGAAATCCACTTTGGCCATGAAGTATGGCGTTGAGACCTAGTGTATAGTGTAGAATTGGAAGGTATATTCTTCGATGAATGAACAGACTTTTTTCTCCAGTGCATATTTTCACAGCATTTCAGCATTTGTCAGCACAGATATGTGTGGAGGGGAATTCGCGTAACGTTTTGAAATAAACACGGTAAAACTTGCTTTCCTTACAATATTTCGGCTATCTGTTTCTACATTCTTATGCTTTATTAGGCCTTATTGAAATGTTTTAATTGTGTGATTGCCTGGGTGCATTTAAAAGGCGTACAGGTCACAGTCCAGAGTATCACAGAATAAATTGACGGACAGAACAAATTGATATCCCAATTACGAGAAAACAGCTGTTAGGTCGACTACAACAGCGGAAATTGGCCTTAGAATGAATATAATTAAAATGAAACTCGTTTAAACCGTTGCTGGTGAAATCCTATTTTTTATAAATTCATCAACCAGAAAATGTTAGACAATAATTATCTCTGATCCACTCTCATACCTAATTGCCAGACGAAATTCATGTTCTTAAATAATTTTTAACTTTCTTCTGTAGTATGCTCAAATTTATTGTATGAATGCGAAATGAACCCTATGAAACTGAAGATATCAGGAAGCTAATTGGCTTTGAACATTCCTAATATGTATCATGTCGCCAAATGGACGGACCTCATATTATTCTTCGTTCGAGTAATGTCTAAATTGTTCTGAATATTGAATATTGTCATATTGTCATAAAGAGTCGATTGTGCTAGTTTAACCCTTCATTGTATGTAGAAATAAACGCATGTCTTGCTAAATCTTTCGGCGGATGATGTCGCAAGGATTAGTCGACTTATGCTGCTGCTTGCTATTATTAGAGGAGAAATTTTGAGGAGAAATAGACAACTCAGCCGTATCTGAGTTGAGTTGTAATACAATAAAAAAAGAGTGGTTGCTTTGGCATCGGATCGGAAGCTTGGATTCGTTAATCCATTTTATTCTTACTTTAATCGCTAATGAAGCGAACCGAATCAGCGTTGGAACTAAAAGAACGGAACACCTTTTTTTTTATAGCTGTATTTCTTTAAAATTTATGCACTATTTTTTTTAAAATTTATGCCTTATTCTTAGGTTTTATTCAAGCGGTCTGAAACTGATAGAAATTCAGTTTTTTTCGAGTTGTCACATGTAATCAAGGTAAGCAGATCTTTTTATGGTTTGCATTTTTTAAAATCATATTTCGCTTATACGAATTGTTTCGCGGGAAAATGTCTTGTAATTTATAACCAGATTTAAAAGGGCCATAATACGATATTCCATTGCTTTTTCTTGTAACAGAGATATTCATACCTTTTCATAGTAGAAAATATTGTTGTGAAATTTTTTATACTAATAGTTTAAAAAATAGTTTTTATTCTATTTATACTATTTTATATACTTTTATACTTTTTTATACTATTTTGAGCTATTTGAATTGTTTGAAGTTTTAAGATTTTTAACGATATACATTTTGCAGCATATTGATGATAAAATAGATGGTTATTGCTTGGCGATAAAAATAATTTCCTCTTCGATACTTCTAAATCCTTGTAAATTGGTTTGTCTTAGGAAAATTCTGATGCATCTTACTAGATCATCTGAGTCGGCAAGCAATTCGGATAGCGCAGAATCGCATCTCCATGCAATAGTTTGCAAATTTCAAAATCATTTTCCCACAATTAATAATGAGGTTTTTTTGAAATAGTTTATATTTTTAAATCGATTTTTAAATTTTTTTACTAAAAAACGATAAATTTTTATGGTAGAATGATTTTATTATATTTTCAATTCTAATCTTATTTATTTTCCATCAAAAAAATTTTGAGTGAATAAATTACTTGTTAACTATTTATTTTATTTTTATTTTCTAATTACATTTTTGGCAAAGCAATTTGAAACAATTTCGCATTTCTCATTGTTCACTTTTTTTAGAACATTTATATTTATCATGCCTTCCTTTCTCTAATGATGGAGACAGTTGATTATGATGCTGCAAACCAAATGAATGACAGTGATTTTCAAAATCTTATGGTTCATCTGCAATCGGTCAAACGCATATTGGTATGTTACTAATTTACCCTAACTATTTTATACAAAAAAAAATGGTTCGGTATTCGATACTGATATGACGATATAGGGTATGTTGCTTCGACTAATGTCAAGCAATACAGATTTTTGTCTTTTAACAAAAGTAAAGCCATCATTATTAAAGACCCAGTGGTGCTGCGAACCTATGTAAATTTCCAAGTGGGTCTCTTTCTTATCCTTAATGTCAATAATTTTGAGCGAAACAGAGAATGGTTAATGTTGCTCGATATCGAGACATTCGCTTTAAAAAGGAGGATAAAAGTGATGGAAATAACATTTTGCAGTGGATTGAAAGGTCATCGAATGCTATTGTAATTGAACGAAGTGTATCATCGTTCATAGAGCGATTGGAAATTTGGAGGAAGAATGGCGAAGGTAGCTCCCTGCTGAATTTTTAAAATACGTTTTTTATGTAAATTTTATCTCGTACTGCAAAATCATTTATTCATTAAAGCCAAATTTTCCCTTTTTCATTGAAGAAACCGATTTTTGTACATAGTTGATTTACTGTTTATTAAATTATTCGTTAAATGAAGATATCTTTTGTATTTTTTTGTCATTTTTTTGTTCCATCATGGAATAAAATAAGCTTCGCTTATTTTTTAGATAACTTGCAGTTTAATCCTAATCAGTTGCTTTTATTGCGATCTATATTAGCGGTCGTCAAACTGGCATCTGTGGACCCTTCGGTATCCATGGCAACTCTCAGCAGGGGGGTATGAGCCAAATTCCGATGTGTATATGCTTATTTTATTTGAATTCCAGAGTAAATTTGTCAAAAAATCCGGGTGATGCTGGCGATCCACCTGTATTTCTATCGCCAAAAGACTCCTGACATTTGTCCGGTGCAGAAAGCCAGCGGAACCAATAATTATGAGGACCTTTTAAAAAAAATTTTATTTGAATGGTAACAAATAATTTCGAGTGATTGTTTTATGCGGTTCATAAATATTTTATAAATACCCTTTATTTTTTCACTTATTACAAATATTTTAAAATTTCAAAGCATTACAGTGGGGTTTCACTGATTTCTATGGTATCATCCATGAGGACTGCAGGAAAAAATTTGATGACCACTGTGTGAAAAATGTGGCTATTCAAGAAAACCGAAAGAACATTTGAATAGAATTTCCTTTAAAATCCAACATATAAAAATTATCACTTGCTTAATCAGTTGACAATTAAAGCTTTTGTCTTGCTTTATGTATAAGTGACCGTCATGTAAGGCCACATTCGCTGAACTGATTTAGACAAGGTGATTGACGATTGCTTTTTGATTGGCTAATAAATTGTCTGAAACAAATTTCAGGTTTTAAAAAATTGAAAAAACCGTTTGATCGTTCATAAGTAAATCCTCAGCTTTAAATCTTTTAAATCTTTTGCTGCCGGTCACTTCGAAGAGGTAAAAGATTCGCGCATTTTCGCGGATATTCCGCTAATTTTTCATTTGTGGAGCGACAAAGCACTGATAAATATCTGCCACACATTGGTGCATTAGCTGGAAATCGAATTGTTATTATCTCTCTGAAGTGTACTGCTGCGGTAACCTATATCCTTCCGCGAAACCTCGTCCTCTGTTGGCTCTCTACCCAATTCCTTTATTAATAAGTTGCACGAATCCGCCGAGCGAACAGTTGCTTGCAGATGTGTCGTTTATATGGTACGAGGTTTAGTACAGTGCATGACCAACTGGTTTTCTGTTAAGTTTTTGTAGATTTCAATAAGGAAAGGTTGGTATTTTGTTGCTTTGCCAGATTAAATTATATTTTGTTCACTGGTGAGGGGGAAATTCAGAGATGAATCTTACGAGGTGAGGTTTAAGGAAGAGGTAAAGTCCCTCACCGGCACTTTTCGTGTTTGTTTTGAAGATTATTTCCCAGTTCATTTTTCCATGCTACATAAATTGACCTTTAACATGAGAACTTTCAAACCATTCATTTTTCTCAGTTAGGTTTTGGACAAATGTCACATCCACCACTTGACGTAATATTTCGCAGCGTTGATAGCGACAAGTCAGGTCAAATAAGTGCCGATGAACTGCAGCGGGCGCTTTCAAATGGCACGTGGACTCCGTTTAATCCAGAGACATGCCGGCTCATGATAGGTTCATTTTTTCCCAAATTCGTTCAAAATCAATTAACACACTTCGTTTCTGATGTGGCTGACTCGACTGATTACGGGTATGAAACTTTTTCGCTAGTCCTCCAAGAGAAGTTACTCTTCCAATGCTGTCCTCAGCTCCTTTTTAATTACAATGCTCAATTTCTTCATAGTTCGGATATTCAATTGGTCGCCTTCAGATGGATTATCATGTTCATTTGGTTTCAAGTTTTGTGGGTGATTTTCAGCAAATATATTAATCGACTGAATGTTCTGAATGTTGGGCTCCTTGAATGAGCCTGCAGTTTTAATCCTAGAGTAAATATTCTCATAACCTTATTTATGGCCTAAATGGTTTGACGGTAGTTCATTAAAAATCCGATGTTGAACAGGTCAGTCGATTCAAAGTTCATAATATAACGTAAAAATTATTAATGTTTAATTCGAAATTGGTTTGATTATCAAAATATTATCTTCTCTTCTTCGATTTGTTCCGAATGTTAATGATTAGTTTGATTGGGATGTGGTTCTTGATATTTTATAGATATTTTCTAGCAAATTATTTTTCGGTTACATAGGTTCCGTCTTTTCGCGAGAAGGGAAATAATTTACGAGAAAATAAATTGTTGGTGGCCAAATAGTATGCAGACAGGCGAAAACATGGACATTTTCCATCAGCGAAGTGAATGTAAATAATTGGAAGGTTGCTGGGGGGTTTGATGACTCTTTAACGAACAAGATTCAAATATCATGAATATCAAGAACCACATCCCAATCAAACTGTTAATTGGTAGAGCCAACTAACTAGGGCTGTTGGAAGAAGAAGGAAGATGGTCAACTACTGATATGAAAATAATAAGCTTGACGGAGAAGATAGAGTAGATGAGAGGCATCAAAATCGTTTGCACTATACATTCTATACTGAACTATAAAATACGAAATCAGATTTATCAGATTTCATATGAATGTTAAGGATAAATAATAATAGACTAATAAGATATCAGTGAATGTTTTACGATGATCAATTTCGAATATTTTTATTATTTTTAATAATTCGAAATTGAATATTTTTTTCATTGTTAATTTCAGCTATGTTCGATAGAAATAATGATGGTGCGATTAATTTTTCGGAATTCGCTGCACTTTGGGATTATATAAATCAGTGGACTCAATGTTTTAGATCATTTGATAGAGATGCTTCGGGTAATATTGATCAGAGTGAATTGAGTGCTGCACTTCATCAGTTTGGTTCATAATTAATAGCATTTATTGCATAGTAGTAAAATTGTCATTTATTATCATTGTTTTTATTATTATTATTTTGAAAGCTGTAAATCTTCCGAGAATCCATTACAGTATACAACTACATTTTCGGAGAATTTAAATTTCGAACCAATTAGTTGATTATGATGCGAGAATTTATCCTCATTCACAATTCACAAAAAAATAATTCGAAAAGCGGTTAAAAACATTATATAATAGAGTTCAATAATAGAGCACAATGGATAAAGTGATTAAATCGAAGGTGGGAAAATTTCATAGCACATTTCCACATTTGAGAGAAATAACATAAAAAAAAGAGGAAAAAAAAAGAAAAGGAAAGGAAAAAAAGAAATTAGAAAAAAAGAGGAGGAAGAAGGAAATAAAAGGAAAATGAGGGTTTTTCTGTCTTAATACATGATAAGAAACTAAAAATAATGATCTTTTTGCTTGTATTTATTTGTTTGAGCCAATGGATTTTTTCAGGATATCGTTTAAGTCCACAATTCATCAATATTCTAATGTTAAAATTTGATCGAACCCACACGCATCGTGTTAACTTCGATGATTTTATTCAGCTATGCGTTGTACTACAAACATTGACGGCATCATTCAGGGAAAAAGACACTGATAGAGATGGTTTTATAACTGTCGGCTTTGAAGAATATCTAACTATGGTATTTTCTAGCAAAATATGATTTCAATTCGTTTTTATTCTTAAAGTTTTGGAGCTTTATTAATTGTCTCGACGATTATTTGATTCATCAGTTTACCTCTCATCGAAATATGTTTCACATTCATTAGTTCAATAATGATTCAACTATGGAATATCTATTTAAGATATAATAAAGCACCATTATTGTTCCTTAATTTTTGAAGAATATATTTCATTTGATGAATAGTAAAGTCTCTTAAAAAATGTCTCTTAAATATTTCCTGCTATATTATTTTTTCAGGGATTTGAATTGATAAGACGGTAAAAATAGATGTGGTTGGCAGAACTGAGCCGATGTTTTGATGTTCTAAAATTTAATTCATTGATCTCGTTATACAAGGAGCATTAAAATCCCTTTCATCAATCCTCATCCTCGACCATATAGCCAAACAATTATTTGTCGGATATTTTATACTTTTGAGCTTCTTTGATTATGAGTTTGGTGGTATATTCGCTCCACTTATTACACGTTTACTGTTTTGGAATTAAAAACAAATGATGCTAGAAAACAAATTTGCGTTTAATATGTTTGCATTTAATATTATCCTGATGAGTGTGCATTTTTTGCTGGTCTCAGTGCAATGAACCACTATACAAAAATATGTTCAATTTTCATAAAAACATTGACAAAAGACATTGATAAAGGAAATATATTTTACAATATATTTTATTTTTATAATAAAAAGAGGCGATAAAACAGATGCAAGTAAGCAAAAAAAACGTTCAGCATATTTTTGATTTGGATTGAAAAAATCGTGAAATATATTTTATGCCTTCTTGAATTTTGGAACAGATTATCAGTCGAGAGTGGATCCATTGTGGCAAATTCTATAATGGCTAAGATAAAAGGCATAGATCTGAATTTCTTTATTTTTTTGTATTTTTATTTTTTTATTAGAAAATTTAATTTTTCGACATATAAATTATGGTGGCATGATGTTTTACTGTTATTGCCATTTTATTGGCACTTTAAGGCTTGTAGAACACGTTTCTATCCCCATTAATACACGTGGTTTGCATTCACCACTTATGCTTAGTGATGTTTCATTGATTATTAAGATGGGTCGCTTTCGCTAATAGATTATTTGGAGATAGAAATGCATCACTTGGAATTTTTTATGGTTTATGGCAATTTTATTATTAGAGTCGACAACATGATAAAGTTCAAGTTAGAGGTCCTCAGAACCCCGCTCTCGAAACTGATCTTTTATTCTCACAAAAATTATTGGGGAACTTCAAATAGCTTTTAGGTTATCCATTTGCACATATATCTATCGATATTTAACGTAAACAGATTTCTTAAATCACCAATTATTAAATGCGATACAATACAATTTGCTAAGGCGTATATAGGAATGCTTAAGATTCCCCATCTACATTAAAAAATGACTTGGCCTCGAAGACACTGTAAAATGCCCTCGGAATCCTTCGAAAAACACCGATCTTAGCAAACAATAATGTTCCTATTTTATTGCCATGAACTTTAAATAGAACTTTAATATCAGAGAAAATATTTCGAAATAATTTTAAAAATTCCCACCTGCTTTATATTTGGACTAGAAAATCGTGAATCTAACAAAAGTATGGCTGCATAATCATTACGATGACGAATTACTCGACCTATCGCTTGATTTACCGCATGCATACAATCTGATTCGTACATCGCATCACTTGAAGCTTTACCCATTGTTCGTTCACAAAACTGAAACGTATAAATTAAATATGTGATAAGAACTGATAAGAAAATTAGATTTACTTATATTTACTAAGGAATCTACTTATATTTTCCAAGAAAAAAATTCATAATAGTTCTCATCTCATCTGATACGCAACCAATTTTCTACCACTTTTATCGTTTTCATTTTTATCTCTATAGCCAAATGCTTTATCTCACAATCTTTTTTCGCTCTTAAATTATTATGAATATTTTACAATCATTAAGTGAGGTTGGCAGCGTGTCAGAAGAGTTAAAGTAAAGAAAAATCCAGTGAACATCTAAAGACAGATTGAAAGTCTAACACTTAATCTTTCTTTCAATTCTAAATCATTTTTATTCGCATAAGGTAATCCAATCATAACGACACATCGTCCCAGTTCATCGGAGAAATTTATACCTGAAAGTTTTTTCGTTTACAATAAACATATCAAATATAAATATTATTGCAAAAACAAGAAAAAAATTCAAGAAATGTTCAACGACGTCTGGTTGAGCTGTTTAAAGATCCTTTTTTTTGTGTTAAAGCAATTCGGTTAAATAATCATATTATAATTTACAAAAATTCTTTCCTCCACTGTGGGTGATATGGGCTATTTTCAAGCTCGAGTCCTCAACCAGAGGCTTGGCAGCTTGAAAGTTCTCAGCTTAACTATTCCTAGCAATGCAATGTTTGTAGATGATTCAACCATTATTTCAGTTCATCCTTTGGTACCATCTTATTCCTGATTTCTTCATTCATTCATTCAAGGCAACAGCTTTCATACTCACCAAGCTCCATCCGCCATCTTTCCGTCTGGTATATAGTCTTTGAATGTTGGACTTAGGATGGAAATTTCCGGGCCCTCACATCAACAGACTTCATGCCTTTCTCCATCTTTAACTGCGAACTTGATGACTGACAGAGCGTATCTATTTATAGCACTGATTTCATTCATCCCACTGAGCTGGCTCTAGGATCTGTCTTATTCTTCGGTGGTATTTAGATGTTTCAGTCTCTCTTGCCTCCTCATCGTGGTTACCAAGTGATTGTGGGCCACCAAGATAACTGTGGTCAGTCTGCATGTCCGCTATATGTCCTGGTGGCATGTCCTTATCAGTTGTTACTATCCGGTCGCATTTTTCTAGCCCAAATGACATCCCAATGTCCTCGTTGTAGATTCGTGTTAGATGGATAAGCGAATCAATATCTCGTTTACTTTTATCCATATAGATGGTTAATGGTAATCCCGCTCTTGAATTTATGTTCATATCTATTTTTCATGATTATCTGACTGAGGGAACATTGAACAATAGAGAAGACGTCACCTTGATATATACCGCACTTGATATAACCATTTGTACAAGCTATTTTCAATTCATTTCAAGTGTCTATTTCCCCAGTTCCACTGAGTTCTTAATGTAGGTCTCATCTTTAGGATCTCGTTGACTTTGTATAGGGCCAAACATACGCAGATTATGTAGGAATATTGAGTCATAGGTTTTCTTATAGTCAAATCAAATTCGGAATTTTATATATTGAGAGACTATCTTATCTATGAGCAGCTGGTGTTACTTCCAATGCTTTTTTGAACTTTGCTGATGTACTGGCCTAGATGGTCTAGAAGCTTTACAGCCATGATGCCTGATAGGACTTTCCAGGCTGTGCAGATTACTGGCCAGATTATTGGCAATTGGACAGTGTTGTGGGTCTTTGATGATCAATACCCCTTCCTTGTGTTAACCAATCTGATGAGAATTTGCCAGAAGCAGCTGGTTTATTTGTATCGTTAGGCGTTCATGAAGTCGCTATTAGCTTCATTAGCTAGTAGGTGTGCATTATATCCGGACTAGTCCAATCCAACTTTACATATTAATGAATCGCTGTGAGATATCAGGAACTGTGATGATTCCTTCTCTGGGAGGTTGCTATGACTTATTTTCAGATCTTCGCATTTGATGTTATGAATCTTTTCATATTTTCACTGTATTGTATAATTTGCTGTGAATTTTTTGTTACTATATTCGTGCACTGAAATTGAGAATAATCCTTGGACAATTCCTTGAAGAATAGACTTTTTCTTTTTTACCTTTTTGACCACTGCTTCTCTAATTCTTAGCCTAGTGGCCAGTGCTGTGGGTTTTTTTTGTATTCTCTAGGGTTTATGAAAGAATGTAACCTTTGTAATCTTCCCAGAATACAATTCCTATAATTCTGACATCTGACTAATTTCTCTGCTCTGATCTTATTTTTTATATAAACATATATATATAAACATTTATGGTATGTTTTACCACAGTGGGATTCTAAGTCCAGATTATGCAATCCAACATATGATAATGTAAATGCAAGCATGTATCGAAAGGCATAACGAAATAGCTGGCATCATCTACAGGAATATTTGTTCAGTATATGGCATAGATAAGAAATTCCTCAGAAAATCATGGAGAATAATAGAGCAGAAATCCTGTGAGATCTCCATCCAGGCACAAACAAGTACTGGCCAATCAACCAGATATCGTGGTAGCAGCACTGGTGATAGATATAATACCAAGTGGCAGGATCACTAGGAAGAAGGAATATGAGAAGTTAGAGAAATACCAAGAGCTGAAAGAGGAAACCCAAACATTTTAAAATCGTACCTTCACTAAGTTTACCGTTGACAACAGCACATAATATAGCACCGCGATCTGATTTCGCTAATGTTACGTATTTTTCCCATGCCACTGACGTATGTTTCGATTCAAATAAAATATTTTTCAATTTCTAAAAGGAAACTATAAAGCAAAGTAAATCGATTTGCTCAGCGAGAAAGAGGTTAAATTAACAAAATTTGATTTGCTTAATTTTTGATTTTACTATCTTATCTTATTTAATTTTAAACTATTTCAAAACGTAGGTAATAGCCAAATTTATATCTTTTATAGCCTTTATTTATTTTTAAGAATAAAAATCCTAGTTTTATTGGATTATCTTGCCAATATATGTTTTCGTACTATATAAAAAAATGAAAGAAAGCATCCATGTAATTCAATAGGAAAGCTTACAGAAATACGAAAAAAAACATCCATTCTGTTTAAATCGGTTTGGAAAAGATCCATAAAATCATAACTAGGAAAAAAAACCACAATACCATTTGGCACAACTTTTGCAAGTTCCAAAAATGTAAAAGCGATTGATCTCATCAAAGTGCATCGATTATTAAACGTGAAACATAAGTCTTTGCCCAAATGATCATTTTCTAGAAATAAAAATTTTAGCAAATTGAATGAATTAAAAAATTTGTAAACAGCCTACAAATGTAAAAATTCAAACCAATGGAAACTGCAACCAACTGGTTGTCGTCAATAATATGAGCACATGAATAGCGAATAATTCTATCTGATGGTACCTAAAAATGCTTTTTTTTTAAGTCAGTTAGCCAAAATAAATATTATTCTTCATAACTTCGTCAAAAAAACTGGATTTCAATAATCATGGAAAAAAAATTCCTCGAAACCAGAATCGATATATCCAATTTTACAACAATAATATAATACAAAATTCAAATTTTTTCAACAAATTCAAAATATCAAAGTCCAATTTACAAATATTATTGCATTATAGGAATTTTTTCTTATTTACTTGACAAGTATGTATAAGTGAATGCATAAGAAATTGAGATGGCTCCATAGTACCACCAATGAAAATCGTCGAACGTGCTGGGATTACCAAATCCAGCAATTTATTTGCCGAATTAAGTAGGATAAACCTAAGCCTGGAATGTAAATAACATTTAGTGGATATATTTTACAGATAAACATTGAAATGAAATTTCCAAAACTGCTAAAATTTAAGAATTCAAGAATTTTCCTTAAAAATTAATTTTATTAATATTGAATCTTTAAGGCAATATACCGTTTCTAATAAGAAACAGTATAAAAGTTGCAAGCAAAGCAAAAAGTAATTCTTTGTAAAAAAGTAAAAAAATTACCATAAAAATTAGAACATCTTTACCTGTTGGGCCGATTAATAATTATGCGCGCGTCATAACCCATAGTTGTTAAGCATTCGATAAATTCTTTAATGAGATATATAGGGCAAGTGGATAATTTTGGCTGATCCTTTGTGACTAGTTGATTTTGATCCTTTTCAAAAATATTACCTGGGAAGTTACGAAGTATCAAAAAAACTATGCATTATAGTAGTTATTTCTTTCATTTGTTTAGCGTTTATAATCTATATAAAACTATATCCGATAGCGTAATAAAGAAAATTATTCTTTTTCATCATCTAAAACAATGATAAATTATTAGGTTTTCTGGAAAGACCATTCGGATTTTTTTTAGTTCACATTTGAAACAAGTAACAATTATTGAAAAAATGGCAAATGTTCAATTCCTGAAGATTGATTTTTTCCGAAAAGTGACGAAAATGTTTAAGGAATTCAATAAAGATGTTAAAGATGTTAAAACATAAAATACTCGAAAAATTTTTGGCGTCATTTCGTTTTTGGAGTAATCGTTGTATTCCAGTTTCCAATGATTTATTAACATTGATTGAACTGGTTTTCACTTCAGAATTCTTCTCACACACATAAAAACCATTCAGTTTCCGACATAACTGTGATTTTTCTATGTAATGAAGAAGTTTGAACAAATTGATTTCATAAATGTTCAACTAAAATAAGATTCAATCGAAAAAAAAGCTATAACTATAGAAATATAATGCAAAAGGATTATTTCCATTCATTTATTAAATTTAATAAAAAATTTTATCACAATTACTTCCTATTATTTCATCAAAAATTTTTATCCAATGCAGCCATTTTTCGAAATTTGCTAATAAAATCAGGTTCACAGCAAAATATAAATTAAATCAACTAACTACCTCAGCAAGAAATCGAGTTAATGTAAAAACCGAATCGGTTATTTTTGAACTGTACTTTTTCAAAACTTTCCCCAGTGCAGATACAATAATGATAAGTTGACGAAGATATAGCAAACTCTTTTCATTGAACCTGTTCTTATAGCTTTGAAGATAATTCCTAAAATTTTTCATAATTGTTCCAATTTAAATAATGTATTTCAACAAGACTTTTTTAATCCTTAATCTTATTTAATCTTAATCTTATTTACAATATTTTAATCTTATTTACAATATTTACCATAAATTGAAGGCTTATCCCATAGATCATATTTTTTCTTAAGCAAATGTATAGAAAACTAATCACAATTCCAGCTTGACATCAATGGCTTCACGGAACTAACGCATGGAAATAGTGGCAAACCTTAAAAGCGAAAGCGATTCGCAAATTGTGTCTTCTAAAAGGTTGACAGAGTGAACAGCTGCGATATTTTGCAACAAATTATGCGCTTCATCAATAATAATAATATTATTGGCAACGTCAATTCCCCATGCTTCTCGAGATGACTGATGAAGAAGTACCTAAAAATTCATCTAGATTTTTGAAGGGAATTAAATCTAATAAAAACTCTTTAAAAAATGAGATTACCTTCGTAGGATTTTAATAAGAATAAAAGGAAAGAACAAATAAAACTATTATATTTCAGGAATTGCTATCTCTAACTTGAAATTTCCAATTTTCCGGGATAAAAATTAAAAAACCTGGTAAGGTAGAAGGACGATCTGGCACAAAGATAAAGACTCTCTTGAAGCAAAGTATGAACATGCTTGAAGCTCTTCACCTCCTTCAAGAACACATGCCATTGTAGGAAGTTCACAATTTAAAATTCGATTTGAAAGCCGACTGATCGAATCTGTTTTATAGTAGGAACACGAGCATCCAGATATCCGCAACATCTGTAAATTTATTTTGATCTTTTGATTATGAATTTTTTTTGAAGAATTCATTTTTAAATTTTTTTTTTAAAAGAATTTATAAGAATGAATTTATTCATTTTCTATCTATTTGAATTTCGATGACTGAAAGAAGCAGAACTGTAATTTGCGGATTTAAAAATCATTCTTTGGGAAATCAATAGAATACTGAATGGCAGAATGAAGATTAAGATGATTTGCTTTGGAACAGATCTCTCGTTTTGATAATACTAATCATTTTATAGACCTTTTGATAAGCAATGCTTTTTTCTCTGCAAAATTTCACGACCTAATCTTTTCATTTCCACTTGCAGGATATTCGTTTTCCAATCAAGAATTCAACAAAATTTAGAAATGAACCTTTTCGTTCCCATCCTTTTTAAATTGCTTATAGGAATTTTTGGAATCTCGAAGTTCCATGCATTTCGCATTGATTAAATTCACATTTTTAAGACTCTTTACGACTGGATTAACGCACAATTTATCGCGTGAGCCAACAGTTACAATTCGTGGACGTAAACTAAAAATTACGATTAAAAGAAATAAAATCAAAGTTTAGAGAAAATTAAAATTTCAGCAAACAAAATTTTTCTAATAATTTTAATCGTGTAAAAATAATAAAATACAAAAAAAATTTTGTTTCAGAATAATAAACCAAGAAATTCGTAATGCAAAATTTTTTAATCGAATGTTAAATGGAAATAAAATTTTAATTTGGTGAAAAAGTGATAAGAAATCGAGAAAAAAATGAAAATGCCGACGTTGTTTTCATAATTTCCGCAGCAAACTGTTCCAACTGTGAATGAGTACGCGATGCATAATAAATTTTTGTACAAGACAGTTTTTCAGTAACTTTTCTATCGTCCAGTTCTACATCGCTTGAATATTCCCCCGGTGCATTGAACTAAATTTAATACTTGGTGAATGAGCTGTAATCACCTGATTCAAGGTACATTTTGAAGTTCACGACCAAAATAAGAGTTTCACCTAATCGGTTGCTGAAAGACTCATATATTGTTGAGAAAATGTAATAAGTAGGAAGTGGAAAATACCAACAATGAGCATCGTCCGGCCCAAGTCACAAATAGATAAATATCCGCAAATTTTTTATTGCTAAAAAAACTTTTACTATTTCTGTTTATTTCTGTTTAGCCCATTTTGCTGGCTAGTTGGACCATACAAATTTTGCTAGGGAATCAGTTGCTGATAGAAATATACGTGAAGTGTAAATATACGCAAGCATTTATAAATTTTACAGAATTACCAAATGAGCTATTTTATAAATATTTCTGCGGATGTAACTCGCTCCACGTCTATTTTCACGTGCATCTTAGTGCAAATTTTCTATTTTTCTATTTTTCTATTTATTTATCTATTTATGTGAAATATTCAAAAATTATAAAATACATCAAATTCATTAACGATCCGTGAGTTTTCGTCATCACTTTCAGCCTTTCGTTTCTTAATCGACTTCCTTCGACTAATATCGTTAAGTTTTTCCCTGATTTTTTCAAATTCTTCCAATTCTCTGGATTCTTTATCAATCGACTTTATTGCCTCAAATTTCGCTTTGTAAGCAACCACCCAGTCATCAACATCTGGAAATTATGTGTTTTTATTCACGCATTATTTACCTTTAATATTGTAGCTCATGAAAAAGAAAAGAATTTCTTGAATCGGAAAACAACAAATAATTTTTTAGAAACTTCTTAAAATAAGTAGTTATTATGCTTATTAACCTTATGGCCTTAAAGATAATCAGAATACATTTTATTCTTAATATATCAGAATATCAGAATATTTTTATTCTTATTCTTAAAAATAATTTACAACATCTAATGCTCAAATGCGGCTTAAATGCACACCATTTATTGTTAAACTTTTATCAAATAGAGCTTACAAGAATATTATTTTTCAGATATAATTTAAATGTACCGTTCTGTGATCAAACATAAGTTAAGCTGCTCATCCTTTCGGCTTAGGCTAGTTCCACTGCTAATATGGTTAGAAATCACCTGGGATAGAATGGCGATAGACAGGTCGCCAGTCGGATTTTTTAATGATTAGTTTATTTCTGTTAGGGACAAGGAAACAATTATCTAATGTTGAACACAGACCAATTTTACGTACCTCGACCAGTGTTTTCTGCCTTTAAAATTTTGTCTCTCAGCCTTAGCGGTTCATTTTCTTCGAAATTCCTTAACCAAGATAGCGATGAACAAATAATACTTAAGGATTTGCCTGTTCCAGTAGGCGACTCTAGAATACCAATTTTCTTTTCGTCGATACATTTCCAAATCATTCGCATCAAATCTAACTGAATGGCATAAGGTTCATACGGAAATGAAAATTCGTTCATCTGCAAACATTCTCATTCCCATTTTATAGCCCATAACAATTTGTAGTCACCAGAGGAAAAATTCAATACATCAAAAAACAAAATTCAACATTGGAAAAACACCTGGCAAAAAATTTCTGCGTGATATTTTGCCGAACGGATCGTCCAAACCAACAGTCCCCTACAGTCTAAACAGACTTAACTGGCCTAAAAGGCCAAAAATGAGCAATTCCCCAACCAACCACAATGATCCCCCACTATCCAAACAACCGACCTTATTAAGAAGGTGAAACTTCACACATAACAAAGACAAATAAATATTCGCGCCATAAAATTTTTTGGACAGTAATACCAACTTTGGCCGATGAAAATTTGACGGTCCGAACCGATAAAAATGATGGCACTCTCTACGATGTCGAAGGTATAGCTCCTGTACGAGCAGAGCCACCGCCTCATCAGTGCTTTTAATGCCGAACACCTTCCCAACCCAAATTTTTCATCACACTAACCCTTTTCTGGAAACTTATTACTTATTAAACTTATTACTGGACAGAATACCAAAAATTTATTATCCTATGCTTGGTATAATCATTCACAAATTCTCGTTGCTTTTCTCATTGATTTAAAAATGAATAAGAAATAAAATCAAAAATCAAAAACAAACTTCCAGAAAATCCCCATTATTTTATTTTTCTCGAATTTTTTAATTAAAAATAATAAAACAAAATTATTAAAAATAGCAAATTCGAAGATTCACCTAATAAAGATTTAGCCCAATTCTTACAATACAATATGAAATATTCCGAAAAACATAGCTAATTTCACTGTACAAATTATAATTTAAATAGGAAAAAACTATTTTACAAAGTTTCGAAAACACCAAATACCTTTTGATGCTAAATAATAAACTTTGAACCACCCACGAAATTAACCATTAATATGAATATCCAATGCCTCGACGGTCAAAATCGTAGAGATCAAACTATGGTTCCGATCCATAGTTAGAGGGGAAATGGTATTGAAAATCCTTTATTTATATCTTCCTTAATATCATTAGGGCTAATCAAGATAAATCAGTGAAAATTTTAAGGCGATCTATCACTATTTTATAATCTAAAATAAGAGAATCATATAATTTTCTTAAAGTATCAATTTTTTTCTCAATGTTCGTTTGATTTGCAATCACAGTAGCCATTTCCTCATCATTCAATGCACGTTTCAGCCGATTCCAGTCACGTTCACTTTTCTGAAAAAAAAAGGTAATTTCATTCAGTGACCATAAGTAATTACATCTACATTTCATAGTTAGAATTACATTCAATAAAGAAATATTTTTCTCAACAGAAAAATGATATAAAAGTAAACCTTAAAAGGCTGTTCAAGTCTTCGTTTGACGTCGATTCGATAATCCTTCAATTCCTGTTCGTTTCGAACATCTGTCTTCATCAAACGAAGAATTTCATATACACGCCTCGCTTGCCTCTGAAAGTGAAAACTGGGAATTTTATAGTACAAAAAAAAAATTTGAATCTTTCGTATTGATGAATACGAATATCTATTACACAAAATTCAACTCAAAACTGACAATTTTACAACATTTAGAAACTGAATCTGGTTCGATTTAATTAAAAATAATTTAAAGATAATTTAAGAGAGGAACGATAAAACATTTCATTTTTAAGTTAAATTTAACTTACTGGATTAATTTTCAGTTTTTTTTGGGCAGCTTCTTTCATCTCTATAGAAAATCCTTTCTTCAGATTATCAGCCGAAAATTCAATTAACTGAGCACAGTTGCGACAGTCAATGAAATCTCGCATGAACATAAATTTGTCTGAAGGATCTTCCACTAAAACATTTCAAAATATAAAAAAACTCTACTTCAGGCAAAATCGAGGTTTAGTAATGAAGACCAAAAGAAAACTATACTCTGTTCAAAAATAGAATACGAATCATAAGACGAGAAATGGAAGTAAACAATCCGATGGACTCCAGATGAGATGGCTATTATAAGAATAACAATTTCAATCGATGACGGTGACGACCAAAATCAGCAAAAAAGTAGCCGTTTTCTTCATACCTTTTTCCTTTAGTTTAGTTTAGATTTATCATTTTTTACTTGCGATATTTTCTGTTCTGTGATACATACAATGTATATTGTCTCGATTTTATTGTTATTTCAAATAAAGAGGCATCCTAATTTGAAACACCAAAAAAACTTAAGACTGTTAAGAATAATAAAATGAACCTGTAACATCTTTCACTTCTTTCCTTGATATTAAATCGTTATAAATTGATTGGAGAAATCTCGAACCATTTCCTTTTCCTCGATATTGCGGTAAAACCAGAAATTGAGCAATTCGTGTGCGCACCATAAATGGATGACAATAAAAATTGACGACCGATGAATAACCAGCTAATATATAACGATATCCAATATCATCTGGGCGCTTTATCGCTTCATAACTGGAAAATTTATAAAATTTAGGAATCAAATTTGATATGAATTGTAAATTTACATTTACAATTTACAAAATACATAAATTTATGAATCAAAAAATCTAAAGACACAACTGAAAAATGGAAAAAAAATTTGCACTGAATATATTGTTAACCAAAATACCACTAACAAATTTATTGGTTAAAGAAGCATTCTGATGAAAATTCTTTAATAAATATTGATATATGATTTCATCATTCAAAATTTTTCTAACTGACAATTCACCATGTACATTTCTCGCAAAACCAGTTCGCAAAAATGAATAAAATTGCTCCTTAATTCGGAAATGATAAAAAATACTAACACAAAGTAATGATTCCATCGCGAATCGTCATTATCAGTATATTCAGCTCCCTCGATATACCACAGTGCAAGTGTCTGAACCCTAGCCAAATATTTATTGAACGCCTCGTTGCCTTCACTTATTTTATAAACTTGCATCTCCTTTCCTTCTACAAAAACGAAAATTAATAAGGAAACATCACAATTGATTAAGCAAGAAGAAAGAACCATGACATGCGCAAATGCGTTCAAACATAAAAAATATTTATTTACTTCCTATTTCAACGGTTATCAATCTCCTTCAAGACGTTCTTTCATTATTTCATGAACTGAAAAAGCACGCCCGCGAAAACATTATTCACTCCCACGGATTAAACAGTAAGCTAACATCATTTTAGACAAACATCAGCTGGAGAATTTTACTTTTAATACTTCACTAACAAACCAAAATCAAATTTGGATAAAAGCACTCCAAATGGCCGAAACTGTCGCTGTTCCTGCAGAAGAACTTGGAATTGATCCATTGATGAAACCATAGTGTTCATCTGATTTGACGGCAACTGATTTTTTAATTTCTTTATTACATTATCTACCTTAAATAATAATAAATTGCATAAGTTGATCACATAAGTTTTCGCGATAATCTCAACAGAAATTGAAATTTCTTTACCAAAAACAATAAATTTAGCTTTTAGCAATCTTTAATAAAATTTATCACCAAATAAATAAAGTTTACCCTGACACTCTTGGTGATTGTTTTTAGATGCCTTTCATAACTAATCTCTGGTAAAATGAACATCGAAGCATCCGTATAATATAACACAATTCTTAAACCATTATAACCGAAAATTTTTTCTCTGAAAAAAATAATTCGAAAAAAACTTTTAAAAGAATTTTTTGAAGAATTGAGAATCTTCTTAAAGATGGAAAATTCTATGTTGCTGGCTGCAAAATTTTTCATCCTTTATTTTTTCTTTTCTTTCAGCTAGTCGGAATAAATTTTGCCAGAGGCCACTTGACAATTAAATACAAATGAGTCGCTAGGACCAACCGAATTTTTGGAGGACAAGTTTACTCGCGCGAAACAAAGAACCTCAACATCGGTGCTTCGAATCTGGCAACACTGAACCATTCTACTCCGTTTTGCTTTCGCCGTTCGGCGACATGCCATCCGAAGAAGCACAGTGCACTGATCATGTTCAAAAGTGGCAATCAATCCCTATTAAACCACTAACGCAGCAATTTCAGCGTTCACTGAAGCTGAAGCTAGCGTAAAGGGATACGTATGGAGAAGATGAATGGAAATAAAAAAAAAGGAGGATAATTATGGAAGAAATATTGAAAAAAAAACATATGAGGAGGAACATTAGTATTTTATAATCCAAGAAAATATTCACTTGATTTTTCTGTGTTATTTTCATTCAATTTATTATTTGCCATATGCATAAATGGAAACAATGGAAACAAAACAATGGAATTAATTTTTCAAATTTTAGATTCAAACAATATTAATATAATACGATTTTCTAATATTGAATTTTACCACGAACAAAAGGAGTAATAGAGAGTAACGATAAAAAACTAATTAATGTAAAAATAAGGCTAAAGAATCAGGAGAAAAAAAAGCCAAACTTTGCAAAGAAGATTCTACCCAATTAAAATATCAATTTTATGAATGAATACTACAAAAATTTATCTTTCAATCTAAATACAAATACCAATTATATAAAATTATTATTGAAAAAAAAATGGAAAAAACCTTTGACCAAAATGTTGATAAACAAACTCAGGCGCATAACCATTAGCTGATTTCATTTCATTTTCATCATGAACTAAAAATTACTTTAAAAACTTCAAAAAAAAAGTCTTAAACCACAAATATAGAAAAATTAAAACCCTTACCAAACTTTAAAATTATGACTTTTTGTCCATCAACAACGAAATCAGGATAATTTTGGTAATTTATATTGTTGCCCGTTTCGTTATCTTCTTTCATTGAATCAATTTGATCCATTACTTGCTAAAAAAACGATAAAAATAAAAGTCAAAAATAGTTATTTAGTGGTTCTTAAATAGCAGTACAATTATGATAAATATCGATTGATTATAGTGTTAATTTTTTCCTCAACACATTTAATTTACTAAATTCCCTCAATAAATAAAATAAGTAAATAAAAAAGTGAAAAAAACGATTTAATTATTTGCTATGGGTTTGATATTTCTTCAATAAATTTTTTTAAAGTATAATGAAACTTTTAAAACAAAATACCTGAATAATGGAATCCATTACCATTAGCTTTTCTTTTTTCAAGAACTGAATAAATAAATAATTAAAATAAGCTTAAAATTTAAATAACACAGGTTCAATTAAACGCGAATATCTAAATGAAATTCCAAAATTAAGCAAAAACATTGAAAGTAGAGCGGCTTACGATGGACAAAAATGATGAATCACCACTCAGACATCTAAAAACAACTAAACGAAATATTTCGACCATGTGAACTTCTTTATAAATTCATCAACAAGAAATGTCAGAATATTTCGAATATTAAAAATTTTCAACAAAATCTGATGGAAAATTCTATAAACAATCGCTTCCAACAAAAATGATGAAAAAACTACAAAAGGAACGTGGAAACACGTAAAAATAACGTGAAGAACACTCAACCACGCCTTTCGGCCTTTTCTGAGGCGAAAATTTAGTGAAGTTCACCTTTGTCCCTTCCTTTTGTTTGTGGTAAAATACCAGAATCGTTTAAAATTCCCCGCACCCGACATTCAGCTTCGACGAAACCGTACTTTGGAACCATTAAAGTAAAAAATGGCGGGAAATTTCGCAATCTTCCATTCGAGACCCACGAATTCAAAAAATATGAATTTAGCTACATACGCAGCCGCAACGCATGGACCATTTTCTTTTTCTCTGTTCCTCTTCCAATTATGTTTCTCTTATTCTGCATATTTCTCTTTCATGCCGGAATCTCTACAAAATTCTTTTCTCCACGTCAGATTTTTCTTCTCTGTGTACGTTTTCTATCTTCTTTATTTCTCTTCCTCTCTTTAGCTTCGATGATTTGTTGAGAGCACTTATCTTTACTTTTTCTCTCTGACAACCTCATGTTTTGCAAGTTTCCATTACTTTTTTTCCAAAATGATAAACCAACGCACTCTTTCGTTAGAATTTACATCTCTGCCACTATAAATTTTGCATAATCTCTCGTATAAGTAAATGCGCGCATTCACGCACTCAGTTAAAATTATTCATTTCGATCGTCCATACGCAATTCTATTTTGCTTTCATTGATTTCGGCATTCTTGAGGGGAATTTTACGTTTTTGCGTGGGGATTTCCACGTTTTTGCGTGAATTTTGTTCCTTAGACGTCAGACAACGCCTTTTTACGTGTTTTTCGTTCAATTCAATGTAAAGTAAATACTTAATTTTTAATTTGAAATATTTGCTTCTGAATACTACGGAAGCAAAAAAACTAACGATTCTGCTAAGGCTATAAGCCAGATTGAGGGAGGAAATTTCCAGAAGGTCAAGGGTCAACTTGCAAGATTAGTAGTTAATAATTTAGTGTAAGGAATACTTCTTTTTTTTGGATTTTAATCATAAATTTTGTATTATCGAATCAATCAATCGAATTATTCATTTTAAATAGAATTTTGAAAATATTGTGAGCGAAATTCTTTCGTGTTTAAGCTTAGATTATTTTATGTAAAGGTTCAGTTATGAATTGAATGGCGGAGAAATGGTTTATTGCCTCGATCAAAGTCAGTCGTGACGATTGCCTATCCATTGATCCTGTCGGAAGATGCCAGAGATGTAATCCACCTGTATTTTTGTCACCAAACGACTCTTTGGCGAAGGCGTCTCAACCTCTGGTCGGAAACATGAGGGTATTGAAGATGAAAGCAACTATACGAAGAATTTATAAATTTAGATTATTTAGTTTTCTTTATAAAATAAAATTTATAAATTTATAAATTTTGTTAAAATTATATATTAAATAATATTAGATAAATAATGAGTATGAAATGTTGATTATATTTATTGTAAATTGGTTACCTTTAAATGTTTTATTTTGCACTTATATGAATCATTACATACTAAATAAGTGAATTTAATAAGGGCATCGATGACAGAATTAAGCTTTATAATTCCGTTTTAGCAAATGTGTTAATGCGAAAATAAAAATCCTAACGGCGTTGGAACTATTCTCAAATGATTCAGCGGCGAATAAGTTTCTTCTTAATAGCATTCAGTGAATGTTAAACCAAATGAGAAATAGTGAGCGTTGTTTGAACAAGAAAAAGAAATTTTTGGAATAATTCTTCTGTTATCAAATAGTTCCATTTTTTATTTCTTAATTATTTACTTGGTTTTCGCAATTTTTACGAAGGTGTTTTCTATATTTCGTTACTTCACTTCAAGCTTTTTATCTTAATTTTATTATTTCATTTATTATTTATTAGGTTAAGACAGCCGAGTAGTTGAGTAGGCGCTTTTGTTGAGGATGTTGAGGATTTATATATTAAAAAGACTCGAATAGTGCTGTTGGGTCGCTTATGCGTCCATCGCGACCACTAGCAAAAATTTTTTGCAATTTTAATTTTGCAATTTTTGCAATTTTAATAATTAAATAATAAGTAGGTAGCAATTAGCCGAAATGTGAAATGATAAGCGATTATTTATTTAATGTCAAAAAATTAGAAAATTTAAATTTTTATGAAATTTTTTTTTTTATTTCTGCGCTTTGGATGATAAGTGAATTGATTTTTGCAGTTGTAAATGACGAAATTTCAGAAATTTTTTTCAGTTTCTGTTGTCCATCAATAAGTAATAATCGAAAAAGAATGACGAAAGAAAGCAAAAATTAAGAAAGGAAAAAATAATTATTTGTTATGAAAAAAAGTGAATTATTATTAATGTTGATCAATGGGACTTGGCACTTTTATCGATTATAAAACACCTGTTATGGATAATGATTGTCGTTTTAATGTTACTCGCTTTTTATTATTTTATTTTTTCTTTTTTATTCTAGGTATGAAAAAAATTTACTCGTGATAAATTGTGTTACGAACATTTGAATTGGTTTTTTTGATTAATTTAAATTCCGGATGACGCTAATAACTTTTGTACTTTTGTCTTTGAGTGACACTGGTAAATATCTCAATTCCAGCAGCCAGTGAAATGTCTAAAAACCAATATCTAGAAAATAAATTTTAGGTGAAAAAGGAGAACGATTACGATGATAATGGTACTTCAAAACATGTTCACATAACGCCGAAGTCATCCACATCGTTAGTCGACGCACATTCACCTTCTACAAATATTTCACAGTCGACTGAAACGCCAAATATTTTTCCAAATGGATCATATGTAAAAACGGAAGACTTTTTAAAAAGCGGTACTGAAGTAAGAAGCATTATTTTTTCTTACTTAATTCCATTAATTATTGTTACATTATATTTGTATCTAATTTGAGCGGTGGCTTCTGATAACTTTTGGTTTCAGTTGAATGGGTCATCTTTAGCGAGTCAACAAGGTCAACAGAATTTAGTGCATAAAAAAGAGATGACACTTGAAGATCATAATTTGTTAACTGATTTTTCGTATTACGATTCAGTAGCATCAACATCAAGCAATAATGAAGCAAATATTAACGACAAGTCTTCAACTGATTACTCTGGTTATAATAAATCGACTGTTATTTCATCACAAAGCGTCACGAATGGAAACCATTTAATTAATAAAAATCATTATAATCTTGTTGATAATCTATTAACGGCGAATGATTCGAATGCACAATTCACATCCGGAGTAAATATTTTTTTATGAGTTTTCATTTCTTTTATAGTTTTTACATAAATTATTTTAAAAAATTCCTTTCACTTTTTAATTACAGGAATTTGCTGTAGAAAAAGTACCACCACTTTCGCCTTCATCTGCGATTGTACCAAATTTTCCATGCAGACAAATGAAAATAGATTTATATCACCCGTTTAAAGATATTTGTGAACCTTTACAAGATTCTGTTCGTGTGGGATCGAAAATTGAACATTTTTCATATGTAGGCTCTTGTTCTTTTTTTTTGAAAATTAAATTTTAGAATTTAATAGAACTTTATCAGATTCGGCATGAAAATTTAATTTAATTTAATTGGCTGAATAATCGCGAATTTCGATATTCTCTTTTTTCTATTTACTTTTTATTTTTGCTTAATATATTCAATCAGATTTGGATATTAGTAAGTAATTAGTTTTGAAATTATTTGTGAAATTATTTCTTCCTATCTGTAAATAATTGAATGATTATTCAGCAACAGCGAAAAATATCTTCCACGATATCTTCTTCGGATGTTGAACATCGTCCAACCACGGATGATCAGTTATGCCTTCCTAGTGAACAGACTATCAATAAAGCACTAGCTCTTCTTCAACGTCCGTCTACGATTTTACCTAAAGCAGAACAGAAATCAGCAGTACATTCCAAATCACATATTTCTAGGTGGGTTTTTTGCTATTGTTGCGTTATTAAGAATTTCCTAATTATATTATATAAGATTTTTATACAAAATTTAAATTTTAGTTATACCTCTCCATCAAAAAAAGAAGTTACGAAAAGGAGGACGATGCAAGAACGACTTGATAGATTGCGGGACTGTGGAGTGCTTGAAGTTGATATAACAAAAGTAAATTGTCGCTTGAATTTTTGCTTTTTACTATTCATTTCTAAATTTCTCACATTTGTGTTTCCACTTATTTTCATTTTTTAGTTGGAAAAGGCTAATACGACTCAGTTGGCAATGCTTATGCGTCGATTCAAAAAGCAAATGCCAATCAGAAAATATTTATCAGATGAGCTTATTCAACACATTTTCGAAAAAGAAACTTGTGATCATTTTGGTAAAACAGGAGCAGAAATTGCAGGAGGGTTAGTTTTATTATTTCCGTTATACCAGAATTTTTCTTTTTTTCAGTTTCATTTTTGTTATTTATGCAAATTTAAATATATTTTCAATTAGAACGAAATTAAAAGTGCTTTATTAAAATATTTGTTATTTCTATCTTCCAGTTTACTCCTATAAATTTTTTTATTAAGAATCGGAATAGCAACTTTAAGGATAATCTCTTCTGCAACGTCACTTGCATTAAATGATCCAAATGACTCCGAAGCTACTGAAATGAGTACAGATGACGATGAAGATGAATTTTTTCTTCCTTCAACATCATCAGTTTCGAAATCCACATTAGCATCGAAACATCCAAATGCTTCTATGCGCATGAGGTTTTTTCGTTTGTTTTCAAGATTTTTTATGTGGAATATTTGAATTTAATTATTTATGAAAAATTTAGTAAATCGCTTACCACATTCCGTTTTCATCAAGAGCGAGTGCAAATGGGAACTTTAGATACTCGATTAGCATTAGCTATTGATGAATGCTCAGATCAGATCGAATGTATTAATTCTCAGGTGAATTTTTAAATTTTATTTGCATATTAAATGGCTGGTTAATTTTTTTCTAGCTTTTTTCTATTTTTTTTAATTTTCAGTTAACTGAACTGCGTAATAGGAAGCAAAGCTTATGTGCGAAAAGCGAATCGGCAGACGTTAATTGTGCTCGATGTATACCAATTAATTCACATTTACGACGAAAGCTTATTAAGGTTTCAAGGTAATCTAAATTTTTGCTATTAATGATGTGAATAGTTTATAGTTTATCAGTAAATAAATATTTTCACTAATGATTATTTTTTGATTATTGTGATATTATATTATATTAATGTTTCAATATTTTTTAATTTTTCACTAATGATTATTTTGTGGTTATTAATTGTGATATTAATGATATTAATTGTGATATTAATGATATTAATGATATTAATTGTGATATTAATGATTTTTCAATATTTTTTAAATTTTATTTGGTTGTTAAGAATCATATATTTATCATTGATTCATCTAGCGGAAATTTCCTCAAATTTTTAAAGGAAATTTTGTTGCATAAAAGCGGTTTTTATTTCTCTCCCTTTTTTTAATATTTATATGAAACTCCATTTCAGTATCCTCTGGAACAATGCATCAGATGATGCGGTAGCTACATCGACATCTGCGATGGATCGAATGAAAGCTTATTCAAATATTGATCACCATCTTCACCCTCATTTTTCATTGCCTTCAAGTAGGTTTTTTTTTCATTTTTTTTATTACTTGTAAAATTAAAATGGTATTATACTCACATTTTCTTGATAACTATGTGCGATTTCACTTATTGTTTTAGTGATACCAGTTGAGCGACGTATAGAATTATATGTGAAGCGCAGGTCGAATCGACCTTGTCGATATCTCCGGAAAAGGTGAATTTCTTTGATGATTTGAGGTTACTTTGGCTACAATAATTTTCTTTTTTTCTTTTTCTTTTTCTTCCTTTCTTTTTCTTTAATTTTCTTTTTCTTTTGTTAAGAATTTCCATTATCAATTCATGTTTTCTTTCATATCTTCAATTTCGTTTCATGTTTTTAAAGATTGGATTTACCACCTTGGATTTCATCACCTTCGGATTTAAATAATAATGAATCGAAAAAAAATATCGGTAGTACAAAAGTTGATGAGAAGAGAAAGAGGAAATTAGAAAATTTGGATGAGGATGACTGTGTAAGTGATATGCAGGACGAGGAATATTTACCGTGGAAGATTGCTCGTCGAAATAAATATGTTAGATCATCGCTTTTTTTGTTATTTTTCTATTCAGCCTTAAGATCATCTCTAAATAGTTTTGAATGAAATTCTCATTTTTTGAATCAACGCGTGTGAAGCGAAAAATATTTTCATTTCATTAATATTTGGTATAACCTGTTATCCATTGAAGAAACGGCAATCGTCACCACTGAAACGAGCTCATCAAAAGTTGATAAGGCGATCATTGGATCAAAAGCGACATCACGAACAAAAATTGCACCGCAGAGCTCGATTGGTGGCAGGAAAAATCAAGGACTTTAAACAACAAACGTTCACTGGTGTAGATCTCGATGATGCTCTTCCTGGTCTCCCTCAAAAGATCGATTATAAAGAAATAAGCATTCCTAGGTAATTAATCGTATGATGCTTGAATAAACTTTATGTGCTTAACGGGATGTACTTTGAATTTTTTTCAGATTTTGCTATAAGCCTTTGAACATCTCCATTATATCAGTGGATTCACCTTGTACTCACCTTGCACATAGTTCCACGCCGATTGAAATAGCAAAACGGCATTTATCTTTGGAATTAGAGGAACGAAAGCGCTTTCAGCAGTACAGGTTATTTTATAGCATTTTTATAGGATCATTTTCCAAATTGTATTGGAAAATAAATTGAAAGAAAAATTAGAAAAAGATGTTTTATTAACTTTTTAGAGATTATATGGCATCGAAAGTGGATCAGAGTACAGATTCGAAAACATCTTCTTTGCAGTTGAAACAACCAAATAAAAATGTGCCGACTGGATCAGTCTTGATTGATTCAAGAGAGGATTCGACATCGGCAAATCTTTCATTACGTGTAAATTTAGACGATTCTCTCATTGCTGGTGATTATGATCGCCTTTCAGTTGTAGAGCCATATTCACCACGTTCTTATTCAAACATAGTTTACGGTGATGAACATATGGATGATGAGTAATTTACCATGTTAATTTAATTTTTATTATTACTTTGAGCTCATTTTCGTGAGCATGATCTCTCGTTTATATTTTTGCGAATTTCTTACGCAAATAATTTGATAAGAATAAAAAATAGTTTTTATCGTATTGCTCACGAGAAATTTTTTTACATTTGACAGTTTATCAATTTATTTAAAGCGGAAAGTAATGCAATGATACTTGACCAGTATTTATATATTCTATATCTAGATACACTATAGAAAAAAATTCCGATTCCGATTTTCATTGTGGCTTTCCAATTTAATGTAAAGGTATTGCTTGTTTTTTTTCCATTACTTTTTTTGCTGTAAATATATTTTTTTACGTTTTTTTTGGAGATTTAATGGTTCGTCAGTTTTTCAACTTTATTCCCACCTTTTTTCCATTTTTCTCCCGATCTTTTTTTTAATACCTCTAATCGGTGAGCGTCAAAGGCACGATTTTTAAAAATGTTTTTGATTTTTTTTTCTTTTAGCACTCCCATACCAATAAAATTTCGATGTTTCTTTTTATTATTTTATTTTGTTTGAGCGTCGTTGCCTACATTTTTATTGCGTCAGGGCTTTTTTTTTTTTAAATCGAAGGGCTGGATAGTGGGTTTAAATCGCCTCCCATACATCAAGCATCCAACGTATATCAATTTTTTTTCGAATATATATATTCAAATCGTTGGGTTGGCTAATTAATTGTTAATTAAGATGGCTTTGATTGTATCGATTGTAATAAAGTCTTCTTTGGTTTATAGATTGATATGTTATTAGATTAATATGAGGACGATTTATTCAACGAATAGGTAGTTTCGAAAAAATCCGTCTGAAATATTCATGGAAATTATTGAATTATGTTCGTTTTATTGAAAAAAAGAAAAGAACTTTTGAGATAAGCCGTGTATTTCTAATTTTTGTTCTAACATGAGTGTACCAGTCGTTTATCGTATTTGTTCTTTTTTATTTTTTTAATTTTGTGAGAAGTATGCGAAAAAATGAAATAAAAAAAATTCGACGGATTTTACGTGATAAAATTTTTCTTTAATATTCTGTTTTGTTTGTACATTGCCGTTTCATCGTACACGAGCGAAGTATTTTAGTTTTTCATTATGAATTTGAATTTGAATTTTTTACGAATTATTGAAGATAATCATTGATTTGAAGTGTGTTTTTTTTTAAGGGATTTTCCTCTTCAGAAAGAGCAGATGAATGCAAGTATTTGCTATGTGAGTTTTATTATTTAAAGTCGTTTGTGCACTGGAATTTCTGTAGTTGTCAGGATTTTCCTAAAAGTCGTATTGAGTCCTGCAAAATTATTAAGAGTTTTGTTTGCGTGGTGAAAAGGATGAATAAAGAAAAGGAAGGCGGTTTAATTCTAGCAGTTTCGAATGCTTTGCATAGTTTATCGCAGATAACCTCTTCCAGCAAACAGTACTTGTTCTTTTACTACCTTTTTTTACCTTTTTTAAACCTTCTTTTACCTTTTTGAGATAATTATGAGAAGTATGCTTGCTGTGCTTGCAGAATGGTTTTACGTATCTTATAGCCATTTTCACTATTAAAATTAAAATTCAATTATAAGTCGTAATAACTATAACAATTCAAGTTAATACAAGCCTACAAGTAAATAAGTAAAGATTAAATTTGACAGTTCACGGTTCTTCTGACTATAAGTGAATGAAACCAGATTACACAGTTTAATTGATTTGTGGTGCAGAACCTAAAGGATACGAAGTATTTTTGTATAGGTTCAATAAGTTTGATTTGTTATATTGGCATAGGCACATATATAATATTCCAGGTGAAGACGGACGAATGTTTAATATTTAATATTAAAAGTAGAAAAACCTATTTAGAAACTTTCGGTGTAGGAAATCAGCAGTGAATCTATGGAATCACAATTTGTGTATTGGATTCCACCGTTTATTTGCGGGCTGTGGTAGGGAAAAATTCAATCATGATTTTCGGTAGATTACTATTAAGTGTTAATTGTAAGTGGCAGTGATTATCGCCTTATTGCTCTATTATTATTTTTTTATAAATATAATATTCCACATTGCCACGCTTTAAATTTTTTGGATCCATTTTAATACCAAGCGATCTAGCGAAAGACCATATCTCGTTGCTTGTTAAATTCTGCGATGGATCGTTAAGCATGGCATCGTGTGGCTCTGATATGCTTTAACCATATGACCAGTGGAACAAGTCTAGCCTCTAATGATGAGAAAAATTAGAATAATATTCCATAATGTTGTAGTATGCCTAGTTGTATATCCTTCCTACTTTTTGTTCGTCGTTATGAGACAAGATTTTATACTATTAAATTACATATTTTAAAACATGTATGTCCCAAAAACGTATAGCCATGAAGTCGGAGGAATGATAATGCTAGGGGATTAAAGAGGTCAAAGAGGTTCCAGCCCTCCTTACGCGAAGAGAATTTTTTAAAATATGATTTAAAATGTCACATTTATTTTAAAGTGATGCCATGTTGGAGTCGCTCTTCTAGTGTTGTATAAATTTTGCAGTACATCCATTTGGCTAAAGCTTGCCAAATTTCACTTTTTGTTTAAAATAGGTTCATCAATAGGCCATATATTATTATTTTTTAAAGTGGGATTTGCTACCAGTTTTTTGGTAAATTTTATCGTTATGAATTAACTAATATTTGATGAAACTAATTTTATTATTTCATTGAATTATAGGTCGAGATCCAATAAAAATGAATTCAACGATTCTGATTTTATTATTTATTCAAGTGTTTTTTGTATTTTGGTAAGATTTCAATTGTCTTATTTTATGTAATCGTGTTTCCAACTTTTAGAGTTTTTTAAATTTTGCAGAAAAGAAGAAATAGAGAACGAATTAAACCATAATTCGAAGTTGCATCTTATACTAAATTTTTTGTGCATTTTTTGGTATATAAAAATTTGCTGCTTATTTGAAATGAATTTTTCAATTAAAATGAGGTGGTGCTAAGGTATGATTTTCAGTCGCGGGCCGATCAAATGCTATCAGTGCGAATCATTATCGCAACCAGATTGTGAATCAAGCGATCGAGCAAAACTCAGTTCATTTGTACAGTTATGCCCACTTCTTTCTGAAGGTACATTTGCAGGAATGGAGCCAATCGCTTGCCGAAAAATACTTCAGGTTTGTTTCGCAATAAGTTAGATCCATATTCGCAGTTGTTATTACCCATTGATAGAATCCATTAAGAAAATGGTTGAAGATGATTCGTTACGGAAGTGCTTTCACAGAATTTTTTGCAGAAATAACGGTGCGAATGTCACAAAGCATGCTCCGAAGATATTCTTTTTTATTTCTTCCTTTTTATTTTCTTCAGAGCTTATTTTTTGTTTACAAACATTTTTCTCTTTTTTTAACGATTTCACTTTTTATATTTGGAATCAACATTGAAGGTCGCTTGAAGGGATCGAATATATTAACGTTTTAAATTTAAATTTGTTGCTGAATTGTACAGTAATTTCAGTCTGAAGGATCAGTTCCAGTTCGAACAATTCGAGAATGCGCCTATTCGGGTGATAAGAATTTAAATGGATTGCGTAAACAAGGAAATAAAGCAATAAAACTGTTCTATTATCAGTGTGAAAATGCTGTAGATGCTAAGGTTTTAAACATTATTTTTTTTAGGTGAGCGAGAAAAAATACATAAAAAATATAAAAGAAACATACTTGCAGATTATTCAGATTTATAAAGAATTTTTTTATAAGTCATAATATTTACAATAAATAGTTGAAAAAAAATTGGTGACGAAATATTTTCAAAAGAATCGGATTCGATAGCAAAGAAAATCGAATTTATAACTTCTTTCGTAATTCACGTCACCTCAGTCATAATAATTTTCTTTTTCTATTTATCCAAAAAAAAATCTGATTGTCAGTTTGAGTTACTTATTAGAAATTTCTTATTATTTGTAAAAAATTTCGTTGAAATCAAACTTTTTTATAGGAACCTTGTAACGGCAGTTATGCATTGTACGCGTCGTTCCTAATCTTTTCCATTCCTATCTTCTACGTGATGTTAATTTAATTCAGCGTGCCCGCTTTCGAAATAATTCCCTCAATTTCTTTCTCAGTGTGATTTTTTTTTGCATTTTTACCATAAATTATATTTGTACATATAATTTTTCATTATTATGATTTATTGGTGCCATATTGCTTAATTTATAGTATTTTTTAATTGATGTATTAGTTGAGATTTTTTCGATAAGAAATTCACGAATTCTTATGGATTTTTAATTTCCGTTTTTTCTTTTATTAATTTTTTATTGCAATAATTAATAAATGTTTGCGAAAAAATAAAAATTTGATTAGATATATAAATAAAATATTGCTTGTCAAAATGAATAGAATTGTCTTCCATTTTTCTATTGTGTATTACAAATTTTTAGCAATTTTTTGCTATTCGTTTAGAAAGTTTGGAATTCTTTGGAAATGAAATTTTATTGATTTACTGATGTGTTGCTGCGAGTTTATCCAAAATCTAAAAAAATTTCGCATATTTATTCCATGTCATATTTATTCCAATTTTTTTGAGTGAAACGCGTCGTTACATTGAATATTTCCTAGAAAGTGGGTTTATTCCATTGCCATAAAAGTCGGGACTTCTGAGAGTGGAACACATCTCTCGTTTCTCGTGTTTGTCTTCGAGTCCAGAAAGCGGAAAGAGAGGAAGTAGTAAGGCGAAGGATCTGGGGAATATGGTGGCTGAGGGAATTTTTGCACATTTATTCGTGCACTACGAGTGGTCTCCATCCGTCACTGCTCCAGTTTAAATTAATGAACTCGAAAATCACTCCGTTCCATGTCAAATTTGATCAGCTAAATTAAGAAAAATCTACTTCTCTAGAAGAAAATAGAAATGTTTCGAAGAAACGAGAAAAACAAATCATGATAAGCAGAATATACATGGTAAGTCAGCTAGCGTGACATCGCAGTAAAGATATGAAGCCGTGAGAATTGCAGATACAAAAAAGGCAGAAATCCTACACCGCCACATTTCCTTCCTTTCTTAGCAGTTAGGAGGATTTCGAATAGCAGTACATCCGCCTGCTTAATGAACTCAATAATGAACTCATAATTTGGAGGAGGCGAGTTGGAGTTGGCTCACCTTGGGCTTTAAGCTCTTCCAATCTTCGCGTTGTCATGCTGCCACGCCATTCTCCTCCAATAGTTTATTTTGTCGTCTTGTCTTCATATTCCCTTTACTAACGCTAATCCCACTGCCACAAGCCTTAAAAGAAAGTCACTTGTGAGTAACTCGCGCTGAACTGCTCCACCCGAAGCAATGACTGACGGCAGAATTCGCGCGCGAATTCTGCAGAATGAACAATACACAAGTGAATCTCGTTGGTTTATTGTTTCAGATTTAGTTGTTCCTCGTCTGACTGAGCAAACGTTCTTTTCACTTCCAATTCCGCTCTATTTTGGTTATTTTCCGTATAAATAAATTCTAAGAATTGAGAGTGAAATACTGCTTCGACAAATTTAATGAATTGTAGGTCTGATTCGTGTTTTTGACGAAAGTGGAGGAAATCTACTGGCACCTCCTCCCCCTAGGGAGAGAACGTCTGGAATGACCGCTCCCATGCGCAACACTGAGCCATCAAACGAGAAATGGTGCATAAAAACCGAAGAAAAATATTGTGCTACAATTTGTGCATTTCCCACTCTAACAGCTCTATATTTATAAAATTGAGTATCTCAGTGGTGTTGAAATAGCTGAAAACTTTGTAAGACATTTAAGATGAAAATGCAGTCACCAAACATTTTTTGGATTTAGACCGATCAATAATATAAATGGTTCGAACATAGTCTTACGTGGATTACGCAACAAATCGATACTTTCAAAAATCGTTGTAAGACCAAGTAATACGCGCTAGTGATGCGTTGCGGATTGCATTACGTGTTTACAACGTGTCCGCGTTATTTTAACGATTTTTACGTGGGGATTGGTTTTTCGCGAGCTTTTCGGCTCGTGTTGGCAATCAATTGGTGCAGTTAGTCGTGGGCCGTGGTGCTTTGATGGACGATAGCAGAAGATTCCACTACCAAACATAGTTCAACTTTTTTCAGTCGCTGGTTTTTAGGCTTTACGTCACTTTTATGATGATAAGTTTGCACTCAGTTAAGAATGAAGCATGGGTGGGCTGGGTGCTTGGTGCAAGACCAGCATTGCTAGTTTTACCCTGGCAGCAAACAATCTCAAGAGTCGTCTTTTTTAGAGCAACAAAAGCGGGTCGCTCTTGGGGCCACAGAGGAAAAATTTTGCATTCTAATTGCTTTCCAGAAAGGAGCATAAATACTATATCTTGCAGCGATATAAGGTTCATGTTTTTTCTCGCATCAAAGGTCATACGTGTTGCGTTTCTTGTGAGTTGTTTTATTTCGCTAGTCATTTTATTGAGTCCTGCACAGAGTGAGTTAGGAATTCCGTAAAAATTGCCTGCTTTGCGGCATTTGCGAAAGCGACCATAAATGCTATATGCTTTTTCGCTGAAAGAAATTACCGTCTTTATATGATACTGTGAAAACCTAAAGTTGCATGGTAATTTCTAATCTCTGCAATACTATGAAAACTTCGGTTTTTCCTTTTGCACTAAAATGACTTATATTGAGTGTGGATTTAACATAGAATCCTAGCAGTTTGGATGATGTGTCGGGGTTAGATGGAGTCTTCCTTGCTTTGTTCCAAAATGTCCTCTTGCTAATAGATCCTATCCTAATAGAGAAACCAGCCAGATATGGAATGGTGAACAGTGCTAGAAGATTTTAAGATATATAATAAATATATAAAACAGAATCACATCGAGTTTCTGTGATGCATTCTCTTATCATATTTTGTGGAAACCTTACCCAGATACCACTGAATGTTTCCGAAATCTGCTATTCTCTTTTGTGATAAATCGCAATTAAAGTCTCATCCTAAGCCCATTTTCCCAGGAGCTATTTAGTTGTATTGGCGGCTACCTCTGTTCCTTTGATCCATTATTGCTTGTATTTTTTACTAAAGCATAACTGTTTAAACCAAGTTTTTTCTTAAATATATATTTTCATCAGTTCTTTTTTTCGGGCTAGTAATACCGCCACCTTATGGTTTGTCCACCTTGCTTGGCTGTAGTATGTGTTTCTCCATTAGTGTCGCTTCGGTATTGTTTGAAGTCGTATGAGAAAATGCAGACAAGTCTTTATTACCATTCATATTTCACTTTTTATAATAACTTTACTCCTATCAAGGAATTGAATCTATTACTATTGTATGAGCCGTGTTTTTTTTTGATTTAAATTTAGATTTAAATCAAAATATTATAGTAACTTGGATTTTAGTTTGCATATGCAGAATTTAATCAATTTATGTGGAATATATCGTGGAAAAACGTTGTTGTGAAATGAGTTTTGCATTTCGACTTCATGGCTCAGATAAGGTGGTTTAAATTTTATCAAATTTTGTTTTTCTTTTAAGTTTTCATACTGTTTATTCAATCATTTTGGTTAAGGTTTATCTTTTCTATTTATTTTAAGATAAATTCAGCTAAATTTGAAGCTTTTGCTCATTTTTTCGGAGTTAATAATAAACATGTGATTTTGAAGATTTTGAAAAAGGTTTAGAATTTTTGTTTTCATCGTTAATTTTAGGTTCTTTTAAATGAATCGAATATTTTTCTCGATAAGAATGTATGAATGATATTTGTAAAATTTTTTTTTTTTTTTGAATTTGAGATTTATTTATATTTTTATTTTTTTCTTGTTTTTTTTTTGTTTTTTGTTCTTTTTTGATAAATATTTTTGTTTCTCTTATGGAGTAAAACTAAAATTTTTGCGGTTACAAGGTAAAACCAAATTCAGGCAGAAAACGAAGTAGTTGAAAAAGTTTCTGTGGAATACAAAGAAGAACTCGGCGCTAGGTTAATATCACAGATCAAGGAAATAAATCGTCGTCGGTCGTTGGTGAATGCTGCTGGAAAGTACGTTTAAAATTTTTTAATTACGATGCATAAGATCTTTAGAATAATAATAAAATATATAATAATTCTCCCAAATAAAAATTTTAATGCGCATTTCAATTTAATGGTTTTATGTTTAGAAAATTGGTTCCAGTGATTTCTTTTATTTATGTAATTTTATATAAAAATGTTAATATTCATATTCGAAAAGACTATTTCATCGAACCATGCCGATTCTTATCCGGGATATTTTTATATTATATTTTTTATCATTTCATTCATATATCATCTTAATGATGAGGCAACAAACTGCGAGGCCGATTTGCCTACTACATAGCTTTTATTTTGTTTTGCATATGTTTCAATTTCCTATTTTCACTGCTTTGCCTGTCAGTTTTTTCTGATATAACAAATTTAATAACATTTGAAAGTTTACCGAAAAATATTTACAGGAATGGAAATTCTCTCAAAAATAGTGATTTCGATGGGAAGCTTGCAAATTATATTGCATCATATATTGGATTTGATTACTGTCCTCAGTCTAAAAGGTTTTCCATTTATAATTGTATTCATACTTATTTTTATTCTTCGAAGATAAGGAATAAATTTTTGTGTCAAATTTTCAGTGATGTTGGTGTAAGCTCCGAGAACGATTTACGGAGGCTCGAATTTCGTTCGAATGATGAATTAAATGAATTGCCAACATTGAACAAGGATCAGTCGGGTGATTTATTTCCTATTCAAGTGAAGGTGGAAAATGCTCCGAGCTCGGTTAGTCATTTTTGATCGTAATAATAAAGATGCCCAATTTTAAACAATTTATGTGCTAATTATGATCTTTAGCCATCTACTTCATATGTTGAGCAACAGCCCTCGACTTCCGGCGGAGTAAGCCAATCAGGTGCTTTCGGTTTTCGTGCATCGTCCTTAAACACTCCACGATCTGTAAGCGCTGGAGTGGAATCAAATGTTGAACGAGCGGCGAAGCAAGTGAATTTTAGCTGAATAATTTTTATTTTTTTTTGCTGTTTTCAGCCATTTTCTTATTTTAAATCAGGAAGCTCAAATATTGGCTCGTATTTCTGAGCTTCGCCGTCAAGGAATGTGGAGCATAGATAGGCTGCCAATGAATGAGATGCCTCCTAGAAATAAGACACATTGGGATTATTTGTTGGAAGAAGTACGATGGATGGCTGTTGATTTTAAACAAGAGAGAAATTTTAAGCGACATGCGGCAAAAAAGGTGATTTCGATTTTTGATTTTTCGATTTCATGCGTATTAAAAAATGTTTGGTGATTGGTAATATTTGAAACGTTTGTAGTGGTGTAAACATTTCTTTTTTTTTTAAAAGAATCCTCACCATAACTGGTTAAACTCACTCCACTGGCTTGTCGCATTGGACAATAAGCCAGAGAATCCCTTGATAATGGTATCTAATTTATTTCCTATAAAATTTATATTTTTTGTTAATTTTGAAGTTCTTCGTTATTTATAGTTTGCAACGCAGTTAGCGCGGGTAGTTCGCGATAAAGAAATGGAGGTTGAGCGCGCAAAGCAGCGATCCATCAAAGAAGCTAAGCGAGTTTGTGCCTTTATTGCTCGAATGATTCGCGATTTCTGGCAAAATGTTGATAAAGTTGTGGATCTTCGTGCTCAGGCATTGTTTATCATAAATTTTTTCGTTTAAATTCGTTCACATATATTAAAAAAGTATATATGCTTATATATGCTTTAAGGAAGTACTTGATTCTATGAAAAGAAAGGCGTTAGATCAACAATTAGAATTGATGGTGGGCCATGCAAATAAATTGAGTGAAATGGTTCAGGAAGGTCTAATTGCGGAAAAATGCTGTAGTCGAGATACCTTGGATGATGGTTATTTTCATATTTTTATCCAGCCATATTTTAATTAAGATCATTTCACCCATTCAGTATGGATTTTAGGAATTAAAACATTTTCAGAAAATGAGGATGATGATGATGAAAATGATGATGATTACGTGAATTGTCTAGATGAATCAGATGATGAGCGAACCATTGCGAAAGAAGACATTTTAGAATCAGATGTGGGTGAAGAAACGGCAGATTTAGCGAAAGAAAGTGAAATGGATCTGGATGAACTTTTAGCTTCAGTATGTTATTTGTTATTTTTATTATTTCAGAAAGTTGATTTCGGAGAGAGAATTATGCATACAGTTCTAATTTGAAAATTATTGAAGATTTGAAAATTTGAATTTGAAAATTATTCATTATTAATTATTGAAAAGAAACATTTTGGTTGGATTTATTCTCAGTGCTTCTTGGAATTAAAGGTAAAATATAGGTGAGTCAGTCATACATCACTGGGAGGATGATCAGCAACAGAATTGACCATTCTTCTACTCTATTAGTACCTTTTTCAAAGATCTCATTTTATTTCACATCTTATTTCTTATTAAATCACTTTAGCGCTCTTTTATATTCTCTTTTTTACTCTTGATCCAAAATCGCTATCATATTTCCATAAGCTCCTCCAGTTTTCTTGATGCCTCGAAAGCCGATTATTTCAAATTCACGTTTTTATATTTTGTTTTGTGACTATGCGAAGAAGTGACCTGTGAGATTTAGTGAGACATGAACAAGATACCACCGAGAAGGTTTAATTTTTATGAAGGAGTGTAAGGGATACAGTGTGGTTTTAGAGGTTTTGGGGAGGTCTGAGGAAATTTCTAGCAAAATGTGGCAGATTTGGCTTTTAGGTTTCAATTCATTACTAAGTTTTCGCTTTTTCAACCTGTGGGTTCTTATATTTCTATGAACACTTAAAAAGAGCAAATATGTCGTGCCTTATTATGGATTTTGATATTTTCTGATTTTTTTTTTTAATTTTAGCTTCCTTCGGATTACTTGGCAAGTCTTTCTAACACGAACACATCGAATGAGAAAAAATTGAAAAGGCATCGCACAGATTTCAAAGAAAAGCAATCAAATGAAGATGATATTGAGAGTTTATCGGATCATGATGATAGAATTATGCGAAAAAGACGGCGTTTTCTTGGTACATTTTTTATTTTTATTTATTTAAATTTTTTTTCATCTGAATTTTTAGAAATTTTTTAAGATTTTATAGATATTACTCAAATGAATTTGAATTGCTAATGAATTTGTGTTGATAATAATAATGTAGGATTTATAAAAAATCTTTTAGCTTCAGAGATCCCAGACGATATTTCGACCAAGGAATCTACTGGAAGTGTAATGTCTAAGAATGATGAAGAAATTGCGGAAGTTGATGATGAAACATCAGTACCACCTGAAGAAGCGAAAGATGAAATTATGAAAATCAATTACGATCGTCTTATATCAGAGAATAGTGAAGAACGCCAAAAGGAGCTAGCTAATATAGCTGAAGAAGCATTGAAGTTCCAACCAAAAGGTTTCACTCTTGAAACAACGCAGGTGAAGACTGAAGTGCCTCATCTTATTCGTGGAGTATTAAGGGAATATCAAATGGTTGGATTGGATTGGCTTGTTACGCTTTACGAAAGGGGTCTCAATGGTATTCTAGCAGACGAAATGGGTCTTGGTAAGCCGTTTTTTGTTTTAATTTTTTTAGAAGTGAGTATCTTGTTTTTATTTACAGGAAAAACAATTCAAACAATTGCTCTGCTTGCTCATGTTGCTTGTAAAGATTGCAATTGGGGACCGCATCTTATTGTTGTTCCCACTTCCGTTATCTTGAATTGGGAAATAGAATTGAAGAAGTGGTGTCCTGCTTTTAAAATCTTAACCTACTTTGGTTCTCAGAAAGAGCGTGCTGAAAAAAGGAGAGTACGTATTTACATATTGCTTTTTTTCCCACTGTTCAGTCGTGTACTCCTTAAAGGTTTATATAAAAAAATTTACATTTTTGACATATCTGTACATTGTTTAATAACAAATTTTTTTTAAGGGTTGGTCAAAACCGAACGTTTTTCATGTCTGCATTACGTCATATAAGATAATAACGCAAGACATCCGTTCATTTAAGCAAAAAGCGTGGCAATATTTTGTGCTGGATGAGGTATTTTTATTATTTTTTGTTGTTTATGTTTATCAATGTTTTTATATTATTTCGTATCTTCTACCTTATACTATTTTACTCTTTTTAATTCAGTTTTTTTTCCATGTATTTATTTATTTTCATGTTGTATGTAATACGTTTTACTCTGTTTTTCGCAAATACTTTCTGTCGGACACTTTATTTTTTGGCGAACTCAATTAATTTTCGAAATTATAGGCTCAAAATATCAAAAATTTCAAAAGTCAACGATGGCAAATGCTTTTAAATGTGCGCGCGCGAAGGCGATTGCTTCTCACGGGAACTCCGCTTCAGAATTCACTTATGGAACTGTGGTCCTTAATGCATTTTTTAATGCCGGCCATTTTCGCTTCACATAATGATTTTAAAGATTGGTTCAGTAATCCTTTAACTGATATGATGGAGGGAAATGCTGAATGGAATGCTCCACTTGTTCAAAGGCTCCATAAAGTATTGCTTCATTCATAAATTTTGATTCTGTTGATTAGTATTGGTTTTCAATCTTCATTTTTTTCGTTCAAAATTTTCAATATCTTTCAGTATATTGTTTAGGTTCTACGGCCGTTTATTTTACGTCGTCTTAAAACAGATGTAGAGAAGCAGTTGCCTGAAAAAACTGAACATATTGTGATGTGTCCGTTATCAAAGCGACAACGATATTTATATGATGATTTCATGTCGCAGAGAACGTAATTTTTGTTGAAATTTTTGTTTCTCCAATAATCCATCGTCAGAAGATATGCAGAAATTTTACACTTTATGTTCGTTAAATTTATCGTGAAATTTTTTTTAACTTTTTAAAAATTTTTTTTCAGAACGCGCGAAAATTTGCGTTCGGGAAATGTGATGTCAGTTTTAAATATTGTTATGCAATTGCGTAAATGTTGTAATCATCCGAATTTATTTGAACCCCGACCAATTGTCTCTCCATTCGCCTTACGCCCAATTGTTCTTACTTTCCCTGCTGCGTTTTTAGATATATGCAACAGGTAGATTAATCGTTCCAGGTGTTCTAATTTTGATATGCAAGCTTTATTTTCTTTTTTTAGTTTTATGGCTTAAGTTTTTAATTTTTTTGTAATTTAGATTTAATGTTTTTGGCTCCTTGGTTTGCATTATGCATTTTATTTAATTTTAACGTTTTAGTGATGAAGATGATCAAGTACCAAATGTACCAGAATGCTTATTGCTTAATTATCATACTGTGGTCTCACATTTTGCTCGTAGTGAAGCGTGCCATTTAGCTATTAATAAAGCATTTATCGAAGCAGTTAATAGGAAAGATGAACTTTTTCCCATTCCTAAAAGGACAGGCTTCAGGTTCTGTCGTCAGCAGCCCGTGAGTTCTTTTCCCTTTGAAATGAAATGAATATATAGAACATACTCGTTGTTTTGTTATTCTTTTGTTGAGGATTCAAATGTATCTAGTTATTGAATAATTGAAATAACAGGGTGAGATAGTCGAATATGTTGCTTCGACTCAATTATTCGTTCTTACTCAACAGAAATAAACCATCATGCTAGGCAACCACTTCGCTATATGACTAATGAGGGAGGAATCTGGCTTATGGTTATCACTGAGACCAAATTAAAGAGAAATCATAGTAACTGGTAATATGGAAAATGGCTCAGATTCAGATCATATAAGAATTATGAATGTCTATTTCTATGGCGTTTTATTATTTTCCCTTCCGCTGAAAATTTTCCAATTTATTTTGATCACTGTCAGTATTTTGCAGCAAAAGGTAGTGCATTCAGAAAATTCTCAGAAATTGTCCAACTCTTCGCAGTCTTCTGCTGGTAAGTGAATAGAAAGCATTTTTAGAATTAAATAAAATTTTATTAATTTTATATTAAAATTTTTAGAATTAAATATTTACGTAAAATGTAAAACCATATAGAATTTGCGTCTGCTTATTTTCTAAATTTTTTTGAATAGAAAATGAAATATTTTTAGAATTACCAGGAAGCAGTGGCTTTTACGTTTGTGTGGATAATGATGGGACGGCACGTTTATATCAAATGGTTTTTTTTGAATTTTTTAAATGTGTTATCAAAATTTTTAAACTATAGGTCGATTGTTTACGTATATTTCGAGGGTAAATTTGCAGTTTCTGAAGTGTTTCATGGCAACATTATTTTCATCTTTTATATCTGATTTTATTTTAGGTGATTAGTAATACAGGAGAAAGATTGATACAGGAGTGTGATCCTGGAATGGTCGCGAGCAGTGCTGCAGTAAACCATCCATTGCCAGCGTGTACTATCAATAGTGATTCAAGATTCGATGGGATTGGTCTGAACTGCAAATCATCAGTGAGCGGAACAAATGCAAAAGATACGACTCAAGCACAGTTCACAGCCAGTGTCAAAACAAATGTACATCGAGCGATGGTTGGAGGTAGTGGCGAAATGCTTGTGAATGTAAGTTATTCTGTCAGTTTTTTTGCGAGAATTTTTAACATAATCAAGTTTGCTTCTTTTTTAATATAAAAGGAATATTCATAATTTTCTTTTAAAATTTTTTTTTTTTTCAGCCAGCTTTTCGATCGCGGACTATTTTGAATCGAAGTAATCTACAGGAGAATCGTTTTGCTTTGAATCAGAATTCTTTATCAAAGAATAATGGATTTATGGTAACGCCGAGTGGTGAAATAGACCCTAACTCTCAGGTTTCTATTTGTGGTAGTTAACTGAAAATTTTTTATGTTATTGTATTATTTTATATTATTCGTTATTTCATGTGAATAATTTTGAATTTTAATTTTAGCATATTATGAAGACTGAAACCTTGCGAAGTTCTCGTCATGCGCAATTAGAATGTGCTACTTCTTCAACTCGATGTATCACAGTAGCACCAGCGACGGCGAAAAAATCCGGCTTACTCCATCTCAGAACCAGAGCGCTTTCACCTGAATTGATTGTGGTATTTATTCTTTTTAAAAATTGTATTTGCATTTTCATTCGATTTTTTGCAAAATCGATGAAGTTTTTAAGGCTGTCATTTTTTCATTTTAGCGAACATCAGCCGATGATATTAGATCTTCTGTGCTTGATCGCTTATTTAACATAAATTCACGCCGATTGCAATCTGCAGTTGCTCAAAGATATCAACTTATTTCCATTGAAATCTTATCGATTTTAATTGGCAAACTGAATAAGAAATGTTTGTTTTATCATATCTGACATAACCGTTATTTTCTTCCGTAAATTTTAATGTGGTATTGACATTAATTTTTGATTTCAAATTTCAGTCGGTGCCAGGAAAAGATATAATTATCTCGATGATTGTGATTGCCGTGGATTGAATGATTTGGTTGATAAATTGAATGATTGGATTAGTGAAACCATTCAAAGGTGATTGCTTTAATTTTTCTACGTGTCTTGAGATTTTCAAAGTATTATAGTATTTCTTCTAAATCATTAATTATTGAGTTTAAATATGGAAATTACTAAGGTTCGCCATATATGTTGATGGTGCTGTAGCTGATGCACCAACAGTGTGTGCAACATCGAAAGGGCGTCCAGCTTATATACGTGAGATGGTTGTTAGTCATAGCGCTGCTTGTCGCAAGATTTTTCTAGGACGCGATCGGCTTGTTGCAGAATCCTTGGCGATGCAGAAATTGCAGTTTCCTGAGCTTCGATTAATTGAATATGATTGTGGTTGATTCCTTTTTTTGAAATGAGTTTTTTCATTTTTTATCTTATATTATAATTTTTATATATAAAAACACTTCAAAATATAGGAAAGCTACAAATTTTGAGTGCGCTTCTTCGCGATCTTTTCCTTTATAAACATCGCTGTTTAATATTTACACAAATGTCGCGTATGTTGGACATATTACAAGGATTTTTGTCCTTTCACGGTTATCAATATTTTCGTTTGGATGGTTCTACTGGTATCGAACAACGTCAAGTATTAATATTATTTCTTTTTCTGGCTTTCTATTTTTTGTAAAAGTTCAGATTGTAACGCTGGATTTTTTTTAGATCTATGCTATCTTTCATTCATTTTCTCTGAAATGTAATTTTTTAAATGAAATTATCATAGGCTTTAATGGAACGCTTTAATGCCGATCCGAAAATATTTTGTTTCATTCTTTCAACTCGTTCTGGTGGTATTGGTGTTAATTTAACCGGCGCAGATACTGTAATATTTTATGACTCAGACTGGAATCCAACAATGGATGCGCAGGCCCAAGACCGTTGCCATCGCGTTAGCACTTCAAATATCCATTTTTATTATGTTCTTTTCATTATATTCTTCTTTTTTGCTGGTGTTTGATTAATTAATTTTTATTCCATTTCATCATGCCAAGGACATATTTCGAGGATTTGGTTTAAATTAGATGGTTCGTGTTTTAGATTGGTCAGACAAGAAATGTGACAATCTATCGGCTTATTAGTGAACGTACTATCGAAGAAAATATTCTTCGAAAAGCCATGCAGAAGCGGCGCTTAGGCGAATTAGCTATCGATGAAGCTGGTTTCACTCCTGAATATTTTAAAGGAGATAATATACGTGATTTATTCGATGGATATCAGTTACCAAATGAAACAATTACACCTATTTCAATAGCTGATACTGCTGAACTAGAAAAAGTAAGTGAAACAATTCCGTTATTAATTTTTTTTTTCAATAAGACGAGTATATTATTAGTATTTTATTAATAGGCAATGGCTACAATTGAAGACGTGCAAGATGTTGATGCAGCTAGACGAGCGAATGCGGAAGCCAGAGCAGAATTGGCTGAATTCGATGAAAGTCAACAAAATTTCATTGAAAATATTCTTGAAAAAGCAGATTCTAAATATTTAGAACTTATAAATCAGGTTCTTTTCCATTATTTTTTTTAATTTTCTTTCGAAGTCATTTAAAAGTAAGATAGTTCAATAATTTTTATATATTGCTGTATTAATCATTTCATACCGAAGCATATTTCTTCAGTTGAAGCCCGTCGAAAGGTATGCAATAAATCTATTGGAAGCGGAATATAAGCCTGATTTCGAAGAAGAAGTTAAGGAGGCCGAGGTCTGGATTCTAATGGTTTTTAAGCAGATTTTTTCTTGGATTTAAGTGCAATGATTTCATCTCTCAATTTATCGTTTTTCTTTTAGATATTTTTTATATTTTCATTGTTTTTTTGGTTTATATTTTACAGGCGATGATTGCATCGAAGAAAGATGAATGGCTAAAGGCGCAGGAGAATGTTATCGATGAACAGAATGAAGGCGCTGAAGCGGATGATTTCAGTCTGACTTATGCTTCTGGATTTAATGTTCCTGGATCGGATGAGGTACGCTCAAAAACTGGAATCTCGGTTCAAAAAACAGTTAAGAATAAATATAGAAAGAAGCCAGTAGTACCCCAGCGTAAATCTCTCCGTTGCGCAAATATTTCAAAGCATAATTGTTCTCATAATGCTTCGAATTCGCGTGATGTTAATTCTTCTATCACCATATCTCGTCGATCAAGTATTTCAATTCGTAAACGGGAAATGTCTGTTGGATCACCTAAGTATATGAAATCTGTAGCTCCACCACGATCAAATCAATGTCTTAATCACAAAATGCTTATAAAGAAACGTAAAATGGGGAGAAAATCTTTAAAAATGGTTGCAGATGTAACGGATGGTAGTGATGAAGATGAATCTTTGAATCAGTCATTAACTCGTTTGAAAATTAAGCGCGAGAGGGCCTGCAGTATATCCCATTCCCAGTTTTTTGATCGTGTTAATGACGATATTCCTTGTTCTTCCAATATCAAGCATTTTTCCGTTCTACCCACGACTCAGAAGTTAAATATCGCGGCAGCAGTTGCTACGCATCCAATGCCGTCATCTTCTATTTCCCATACATCAAATAGCGTTGATCGTTATCATTTGCCGGGTCAGAAATTTTCACTAAATGCTTCTAGTCTTATGGCTTATACAAATGATTTCATTATCCATGATGCTGTAGGTTCTAGGCGTCTGTTTCTTGCAACATCTCCTGTGATAAAGAATAATCCTACTGTTGTCCGGCTTGCTCGGTCTAATATTGCAAGAAGCTGTGGCTCAGGTATAAATCTTGTACCAAATAACAGTGAACTTGCTCGTCGACGAGTTATTTTGATTAGAAGGCATATCAATCAAGCTCCATTGTTGGAGCCTTCTATAATTCAAATTCCAAAACAGAGCGGAGTTGATGAAGGTAATATTAATAGTGTTAATAACCAAGATAATACATTTCCACATATGCGTTCGGAGAACCTACCATTTAATCGTGCTCGTCCAGTTAGCACAAGTAGACCTTCGTTAGGTGATTATGAAAGACCAAGGTTGTTCTTTCGCAAGCAGCGATTAGTTAATGATGATGAAAAGCAATCATATAACATGAAGTGTGATATTTGATCACTTTTGTCAATAATTGCTCTTGAGGTTATGCCTTGTTTCAAATTGTTTAGATTGTTTGTTAGGTTTAGTTCGAATCAAAAAATAAAAGTCTTGGAGATATTTTGCTGATCGCAAGTATTAAATCTTTCTTGATGGGGTTGGTTAGCTTTAGTTTTTTGCGTGAAAAAAAATAATTCATAATGTTAATTTTCAAAGTGGAAATGTTGATTTAAAAATTTTGCTCATTTTTGTTTTAAATTTTTTTAAGAATTGAAGGTGATATATTGCTTAGCACTGTTTTCATTTGTCTGTATGATGTTTTTTGTTGAACCTTGCAAAATGCGTGTTGTTTTATATCGATATCAATATCATTTTGAAATATTCTGATAAAAACTTCGTCATAAAATTTATGCACGTTTCGACCACATATGTGAAGCCTTGCTCTTGGATTCTGCTTAGGGATGTTTTTTGCGTATGATGGAAGTTCGATAGTGGGCATTAAATTTTTCAAGGATTCGAGACTTGGCTTAATATTGTAGTCGAGTGTTTGGGCAAGGTTTCACGAATTACTACATGCATAAATGAAAACAATAGCAATAAAATTTGAATCAAAAATTCATTGATTTATGGAAAGGTCCATATTTAACACAAGAATAAGGAAATATTGTTTTGGAAGAGAAATGAATTAAGTTTTCTCAGGGGATATAAGTGCAATAGCCCTGAGTTACTCAAAATTCTTTGTAATATATGGTTTTCATAGTATTCATTTACGGAAAACTCAATAAATCATATACTTGGTGGAACAAATAAGATTTGATTTCTGTTTCATGTCAGTAGTTTTTCATTTTTACCGTTTGTCATGAATATAAATTTCAGATGGTGTGTTTGGAGTTTGTTGGCGAGACTATGCCGGTGAGAGTTTATTATGTTACATTGTATTACACTGTTATATTGCTTTTTATGTTTCATTTTTGAAAATAATTGGGGTCCTTGGGTATGATCACTTTGATTGTTATTGAAAAAAAGCCTTCTATTCTACTATTTTTATTAAACAAATTGAAATCTGCAATTTTCAATTTTTCATTTTGATCATTTTTTTTTTTAGTTTGGTTACTATTGTTTAGACTTTTAAACCAATGATTAGAAATTATGCTTCGCTGTTCATTCAAGATTCCTTTATACAATATAAAATTTAGATATGGATGCCACTTTCTCCACCAGCTTCAGAGGTTGATAATAGCGATAGCATTTATTACGACACTTCCGGCGATTATTGGTATAAATGGGAGACTATGGTTGAGTCGGAGCTGCCGACTACTATTCATGAACTTCATCGTCCACGACCACCAGTGACTGTAATCAATACTTCTACAAATATTACGTCTAACATTCCTGGCTCTATGGTCATTTCTCAAAATATTCAATCCTTACCAAGTGAAACACCAGTAAATGATGGAAAAAAAATGGATGCACAAAGGCAAAAACTGATCAATTCTGCAACTCCAGGAAGTACAGGTATTTCAACCTGCAATTTTTGAAAGAATATGTAAATCTTGATTGTTAAAATGGCTTATAGGCTAGTTATTTCGATATCGATATTTTATTTTCCTATTTCCCTATAGTTATATGTAGAAAGACTATATTTTTACAATTTTACTAAGGTTTATAAGTTTAGAGAAATTTTAAATTTTTTCAGTATCTCCATCAGCTACGGTCAGTTCCGCTATAGCACAGTCGTCACCAGTTATACCTTCAGTTGCTATGGAGCGATTTAATTTCATGTCCCAAAGCAGTACTCAAAATGTTATACCATATTTCGATCCTTCGAATCTCTTGCGGCCGGGCACACCGTCTCGCATGTCGAATAGCGTTGATGGTTTAATTTCTAGCTTTTATTTTTTTCGATTTTTTGCTAGCGTTTTTGATTGTGAAATTATATAATTTATTAAGCCGAAGCAATTTCTTTAATTTTTCTGAAAGAAGATCGAATAAAAATTCGAGTAACTCCTTTTTATTTTGGCTAGAAGGTTTTGTAAGAGAATGGTTCAATTATTTTATTTCGATCTTAATAATTCTGTCTTAAGATGCTATTGATAGTGTGAGAAAATCGGCACAAAAGACGTCCCTTATCAACCAGTTTCGAACTGCATATATTGGAAGGTAAATTGAAGGACTTCAATTGATTTTTTAAAGATGCAGAAAATTTTTGATGACTTTTCAACCATTTTTATTTTAGTTCACGATGCTCAGATTATCGTATTATGAAGGAAGATGCACGCAGAGCCATAACACCTCCTCCTCGCGAACGTGAAGCTCACGACTATGAAGGGCTTCCTTGGCTTATTACTGATGATTACTTATTGTTGAAGGTTCCATTTATTTACCTCTTTGTTATCATTTCTTAAATCTTTACCAAATTTATAAAACATGAACTTCTTGATCTGTTGGGTTATTTGATTTATTAAATTTTACTCTAGGCTGCATCAAAGGAGCAGCAAATGCCTTATCATATGTGTTCGACTAAAGCAGGTCACATTGTTAATTGGCATTTTGTTAGCAATTATCTGTTTAATCGATTATTCACTTACAGGTTTGTTTTAAAAAATTGAAAATAGAATGTTTTTCAAATTTTTTCGAATTTTTGAATATTACTCTATATTATGAAATATAGACCTGTTCGCAGGTCTTAGACTTAATATTTACTGCTTATTTTTAATCATCAAAATATTTTCTATTTTCTATTAACCGATTTTTTCTCATTGTTTTTTCATTGTAGTATTTTTTCATTTTAAAAGTTGTTTCTTCAGATCTCCTAGACAGTGTTGTGTTCATTATCAGATTGTTATAATACCTCGCGAAGATAGTCGTACTGCTGCCTTAGATCCAATAACTAAAAAAAATAAGAAAGTTCTTCTTACTCATACTGAACTAAGTAAGTTATTAATATAATGATTTATTTTGCATTCTGTGTTTTCACGGATTTTTTTGCATAAGTTTACTAATGAAATAATTAAAGTCTTATTATTTACTTGATTAAAGGAATATCCAATAGTTATCAGTCATCAAACAACAGTATGGTTATTTCGAGGTATATCATGTTAATCAAATCTTCAGATCATATAAAAAGCGGTCGTCTTTCAACAGAACAGCAGTATTTCGTTGATGTGCATAAAATTTATCATCAGCGATGTATACAGATTATCAGACCAGTGAAATCTTTGGCTTTAAAGAAGTTGTCATTAAAAAATTTCTCAGGTATCTTATATATTTTATAATTCTATTCAGTGATTTTCTTTTTATGGTCAATGAAATTCTGATTTTCAGTTTTGATAAAAAAAAAATATTCTATTTAGAGTATTTGAATTGTTTTTGAATTCTGTTATTGTTTCATTCAACAATAAAGGAAGTATCTTACATAATTTGTTTTTTAGTAGTGAAACTATCAATCGAAGGTGGAAGTGACAAATTGGCCGCAATTTCTTCCATTAAATCGGAATATGAAATAAAAGAAGGAGATTTTAGTTTGATTGAGCTTATAATAAAAAGAGATGAAAAACGTCAGCAGCTAGATAATGAAAGGCAAAAGCTGGGCAGCAAAGATGAAATGAATAAGGATTTCACGGTAAAAATTTGGCGTTCAGGAGGAGCATAGCGTTCCTAAACCTAATTTTTTTTAAATTATTACGGTTAAATTTTTGAATTACATTATCTCATTATCTTAAATTAAAATTATGCGGTTTCAGAATTTATCAAATCTATCAGAAGTGAAAAAAGTGAATAAAAGAGAATCTGTTGTTCAACCTCTTCCCGGTGTCATTGATTGTCAAAGATTTGTATCACAAGCTTCCGATGAAGCTTCGCTATCTACCTGCACATCCAATATAACTATTCCTATTGCCAGTGTGCGTTCCATCGGTTAGAATCTAGAATATTCAATGATATTTCTAAAAAATTTACAAAATTCTGGCATTTAAGTAGCCTTATTAATTGGTTTTATGAAATATAGACTTTAGGTGGCCCACAGTCTGGAGTGATTAATTCAAACAGTGGTATCATTAACACGGGTATTAACAGTGTTGCTGCTACGATGTGTGACTCTTCTCATTTTAACATTGGGCAAAGAATTTTTAGTGATCATCAGACAACGGTACCATGCTTTCTTCATTTTAGATTTTTTTAGATTTAGAAATTATTTAGGATATTTTGCCTGAAGCAGATTTCTGCAATGGTATTTCGATTTTTTTAGTCTTTTGATATGATTTGCAATATTTTTTATCTAAGAAATTTAGGTAACATCGGGAGGGCATACTGGTCGTCGAATTTCTTTACCATCAGTAGCGACTATGCAAAATCAGCATACGACTGTGGTGAATAGTAACAGTCAAGCTGCTCAAACATCCAATCAGCAGCCATATACCGTCGTTGTCTCCTCTCAAGACAATATTGTAGGCCTTTTTTTGCTTTTTCTAGCTTTTAACTGATAATAATCTATGTTTCATATGTTATATTTTATATATATTTTCTAAAAATTAAGGTTACCGGAGGAAACCAGCTGCTAGGAACTAGATTCCAGTATCGCCAGGATGTTAATGTCGATCGCCAAACGATTTATCGGGCTATCAATCCTAGAGTTAAAAGCAATACTTCAGCTTCTTTGCAAAGGGTATTTTTTTGCATTCAGCTTTAGAACGTTATTAAGTTAGTAATGCTGAGCGATATTTTAGGTGCAGGTTGGTTATCCAGTAATTCCTCAGCAAACATCACAGATGTATTCATCAACTGGGCATAGTGGACGTGCGATGATAGTTTCGCAAACGAGTGATGCTTCTACATTAAGCGATTCATCTCAAATGCAAGTAATGCGACCGTCTTTGCAGTCATTAGTAACGCCTGTATCTCGTCAAGACACTCGGTCGAAAATTACCCAGAGAGCGGTTAGGATTTGCGATTACGTAATATACTGATTATTAATCTGATATATTCACAAAAAACCATCTTTTTCATATTAAATAATTTTTGCAGCAAAATCGTCTTTATGTGACAACGCAGACAGGCGATAGAACTTATATAATGCCTCAAACACAGGTTAGAATGCTACCAGGAGGACAACGGATTGCACAGAAACGTACCTTTCAAAGCAAGGCATTAGGTGCGCAGCAGCAGGTCCATTTTTTTATAATATTAGATACCCATATTATTTTTCCGATTTTTAGTCAATTTTTACGCTATAATTTATTTAATGAATTTAGGTGATGATGGTTCCGAGTCGTGCTGGTGGGATGCAACAGTTGCGTGCTATATCGTAATATCTTTCTTCATTCAACATTTGTTGTTCGTTTCGCTTTCCACGCTTTTTAGTGAAATATCGCATAACATTTAGATCTTTTTGGTATAATTTTAACTTCAATTGTAGGCGATATGGACCAGCTTATCAAACATCTAGAGTACAGTCGGTTGGCTTGGCAATAGGTGGAACAATAGGTCGAAATAGCGATATTGTGGCTACAACTAACTCAAGGCAATTCTCTCAGTCCGTAGTTCCAGGTCTTTAAAACACTTTTTATTCGTGAATATTTTATAACACTAAGTGAATCAAAGCGAATCATGCAAACATTTTTCATATCCTTACATAAATACAAACGTTGAACACCACAGTTGCTGAAGTTTTTAAGAAATAATTGATCCTGCTTCAGATCAATCTACTTCTTCTATTACGCTGGAAACAACCCAAAGCCATAGTCTACCACCTATTTCACTTTCTTCGCAACAAACACAACAAATAACAACACCACCATTGTCATCTTCTTCGCCATCGACTGTTGATATCTCTTCTGTATCACAAGCTTCCACATTTGATAGATCTAACGGGAATTCTCCACCTGATGAACCGTCGTAATATCAGTGTTAATTTGCTTCATGTTCTTCAATTTAAAAACGTTTTTTTGTATTCTAATACTTAGTTATATATGTGGTTATATATAAAGTAAAGTGATTATTTAGTTATTTTAATTGATATCAATTGTAATATTATTATTAATTGTAATATTGATCTCTTGACAGAATTTTTTTTTATCATTTTTCGATGTTTTTTTCATAAACTGTGGGAAAAAATATTTGTTCTTTAATGGGGATTTATGCTTTTAAAGAATTCTTTAATGATAAATATAGCTATGTAATTGTTTCACACTTTTTAAAAGGCAAATGAGAAAAAGAAGAAAATTGTACTATTTGATTTATATGAAAAAAAGACACGGGTTTTTTCAATTACTGTTCTGTTCATATATCTTTTCCATCATATTTTTTATTCCAACTTTTGGTTTCAATTATAAGAAAAATTTGAAAATTCGTTTAATGCTATTAATGTTATTTTTAAATGTTTGTACTGGAATTTTAAGGAAATTCGTTGAATCAGTTCTCGAAATCTTAAAAAACATTGACCTTCGGATTGTGTTAATTTAGTGCTTTGCGAGTTTGCAATTCATAATCTGGGACGGTTAGTAGTTCCGCAAATTTTCAAGTGAGGACTAGTTTGGAATTGAAGCCCTGGGGTTCTTCTGCTTTTCTGGTGACTATATGTAAATGATTTAATATTCGTATATTTGCTGACAGTTGCTATTGATCAATAGGCAATGATTCGACCAGTTACATTCGTTAAAATTACAACGGCTGAGGTTTATTAAACCTAGGGCTTGAATATTGATCGGATCCGTACTCAATTAACGTTACTAACACGGTTCGAACCCGTTCTCTCAGAGCTGCTCAGCTCCATTGTTCCCGTTATGCATATATTTCACCTTAATAAATTTAATAAAAAGAATCAAGTGAGCATTATATAAAGCTGAAATTGACTAGTACGAGTTTTCTAAATTTGCGGTCTAATCTAAAATCTTTATAACTTTGGCAGTCGTTTGGTTGATGTGGGGTAGAGTTGCCGTAAAGTTCGAGCTCGAGGTGCCGTGCAGTTGTTATCATCTTTGTTATTGGGAGTTATTTGTGTGGGCGTCATTTGCAGTGATTCAATATCATTCCGTGCTTTAATATCATTTCATTTCGATTTTCATTTCATTTTGATTTTATGTTCCATAATTCTGAGTAAGCAGAAAGTAAATACCATTTGTTTTCGTTAATAATTATTTTAAATAAAATTTTCAAATTTTCATATTCAAAATTGCGATGAATAAGGATAAATAATTCGTTCACTTGTCATTGCTAATGCGACTGTGGTACTTTGCCATTTTTTTCAGGTCTTTTTCAAGCGTTTGCCTTATTTAACAAAGCAATGGACATTTTTGCGATTTATTCATTGTTCACGGTGATAACTTGGACAGAAGGGCAAGAATTTTCTACCGATATTGGTTTGTTTAATTCATTTCTCTATTTTTATTGTTTTATATTTTCGCCAACCGTCTCACGACTATTTTACTCAGCCTCGGTTTTGGTTTCATTCACTGCAAAATTTAGTTTCTTCCAAGAGTGTTACATTTGGGGGTATAAATCCATACTTACCATTCGGACTTCGATGGACGATAGTGTTAGAGGGCAGGAGTCGAATTCATGGTTCTCGTTTGCAGCAACATTCCATTTTATAATTTCACGATAAAATAATTACAACTGGGCAATGTAGATCTAGATATTGCATAACAGAGAAACGAATGTTGAAATATTATAAGAGCAGTCATCATTATTGATTTGGCTAGCTGTACTGAATTTCATTAGAATATCTCATAAGGGTATAGCTGAGGGTGAGGGTGGTGTTCTGCACCGTGAGGATTTAGTTTCTTATGACAGGTTTACTACTCTCACTTATTATGTAGAATACCTTTTAAGATTTTCAGTGGTTTTTTATCGGAAAGGAGTGCATTTGAGGTAATCGCCTAAATCTGTTTCTGTTTTTAAATCTGTTAAAAATTAAATCTGTTTAGTTTTGCTCTTTTTTCTGGGTTTATTGAAATAATTTTATTGTTTTTAAAGGTTTATTTTAAATTAAATTTTTTCTTTCTCCTTTATTTTTTAATATTCTTAATAACTTTTGAACTTCAATAACTTAATAACTTTAATGACTTTTTCCACTTTTTTTCAGTTATAATTTTTTATGCTCCATTTTCAATTTAAATTTATATATTTTTAATCAGACTGCGTTTTAGTTACATCAGAAGTACTGGAATCAAAAAAGGATTTTCCATGTTATTCATTGCCACGTGAAAATTACACTTGCAGCTCCTGTATTCAGTTCCATGATTCATGTGCATGGTGCAGTAAAACGGTTTGTTGTTTATTTTCGCTTTTATTTCATTTATTTATCTGGTTTTATGGAACTTATGAAAAATCTGCTCTATTTCATCGTATAATTTGTATACATTTTCCAGCTTATTTTCTAGATTTATAGATTTCTCTTTTATTTTATAGTCTGCAATATAAGTGGGATCGTGCTTTAGAAAATTTGAAATAGCTTACCGAAATTGTGAAATTTATATAGATAATTTTTAAAGGGATTTGATGATGAAAATCAACATCCTCGATGTGATAGCGTGGAACGACTTAAGGAACATGGTTGTCCTGATTATGAAATTGAAAATCCAAAAACGATTGTAAGCACTACTCAGGTTACTCTTTCATTATTTCTTGAAATTTCATAAATCTACTTTGTTTCTCTTTTATTATTTATTTATTTTGAGTCTTATATTTACATTTTCCAAAATTATAATATTTTTTGTTAAATGAATAAATTAAGAAATCATTCTATAATTCTAGAATGAAGAATTAACTAATGCTGGTGATATAGAAACGGAAGAAGAAGCCATTCAGTTAAGACCTCAGCGGGTGTCTGTACGAATTCGACCAAGTAAAATTTTCCTTGTAATTAATCTTTGCTAGATTTTCGAAATGTTCTATTTCGCATCTAAAGTCCTTTTTATTTTTTTTTCATACTTTTACAAAACAGTACCTATCATTTCTGATCAGGCTGGTTCACTTGGTTTATCGGATCAGAAAAATTTTGCCGAGAAGTCACTTGGCAATATGATAGATGAGTCGTCAGCATCACTAAGATTTTTGATAGATTACTTTGAATAGATTATTTATTGCCTTCTGAAATAAAACTCCAATGATCTGAAATGTAGCAACGGCTCAGTGAGTAGCCATTCATTTTTTTATAACATGCTTTGTTGTCGAATCACAGTCCTTTTAAAAATTTAATAATTATTAATTATTTTTAGAAGCCCGTGTTCGTTTCAATGTGACTTATCGGCAAGCAGTTGACTATCCCGTCGATCTTTATTATTTGATGGATCTTTCATATTCTATGAAAGATGATAAACAGAAATTATCTGAATTAGGCGATTTACTCGGTATTTGCTATTTTTTATCTATGTTTTTAAATGAAGGTAATTACAATAGATGTTTTTGCAATGTTTTTGCAATTAATTTTAATAAATTTGTTTTGTAACCATTCTGAAATAAAATATGAAAATTTCTAAGATATAATTTTCTTGCTAGAATTTCTCTATATGACAAACTTTTAGTTTTATTAGATAGAGATGATTAAAAAAGAACAAAATTCTTTCAGTGCGATTTTTTTCAGCTGAAAGGATGCGAGCAATTACAAAAAATTTTCGCCTTGGGTTTGGTTCCTTTATCGATAAAAAATTGATGCCATTCGTTGATCCTCGACCAGAAAAGTTCATTCTTTTTATATTGAGGTTTTATGTCTTATAAATTAGATAAATTCTATGTGATTTTTAGACAGCTTTCACCATGTCCTGAACAGTGCGCTCAACCATACGGATTTAAAAATCAAATGAGTTTGACCAAAGATACTAATCGTTTCTCGGTACGTTTGTTTCATCTCTCTCGTATATTTGATGATCCTCAGTGGTATTCAGTCACCAGCACATTTATTTGTATTTTGTGTTACATGTTTTTTTTATATTCAATAATCAAAAAAATGAATTTTTTCAGAAAGAAGTCGATGAAGCCGAAATCTCTGGTAATTTAGATGCACCTGAAGGAGGTTTCGATGCTGTTGTTCAGGCTTTGACTTGCAATGTTAGTGTCATTATTTCTTTTCTTTTATTAGTTTCTTTGCTTATTTCTTATTAATTTCTTTTACGATTTTTTTATCATGTTATTTAAATTCGATTTTTGATATTTATATTTTGTATTAATTATATTATTTTTATTTGTATTATTTATATTATTTTTTATTTTAATCAAGCTAATGAAGGAATCCCATTGTCTTTTCTGTCCACCATTTATGAAAAATTTACACTGATATTTACTGCTGATACTTTCTTTTTTTTGATGACATTGGTAATTAGTTCTTTTTGTTTTCTTAATATTATTACATTGCAGTTCTTTTTCATTATTTCTTTTTCTTATTATTTTTTAATATTTTACATATGAAAATAAGTTAATGTTGTGTGAAATCATCATTTAAAGGATAGCATTGGTTGGCGAGAACGTGCAAGAAAAATGATTGTTTTCTCGACGGATGCTGGTTTCCATTACGCTGGTGATGGACGCGTTAGTTTATCCTTAGTTTATCCTTTTTCTTGGGTCGTATGCTTTTTTTTTTATTTTCCTCCTTTTTAGATGGCAGGAGTTGTCGTTCCGAATGATGGTCAATGCCATCTGGATGATAAAGGATATTATACAAAATCGCTTGAACAAGATTATCCTTCAATCGCGTTACTCCATCAGAAGATAAAGGAAAGAAAGGCAAATTTAATCTTTGCAGTAACAGAAAAAAATAAAGAACTCTATAGACAGGTTTTTTTTTATTTTATTCTGTGTAATAAATTTCATTTATGGCTGATCAAATGTTTATTTTTTGATATTCATTGATTTTCTTTTTCATATTTACGTATTTCTTCTTCTAACAACTCTCATCATTACTGTTTAGGCTAGCTCTATTGGCTATAAGGATAAGACTTCTCAAGGCTGGTCGGTCCGACCCCATTGCTAGTAATTATATAAGCTATTTCTTTTTCATCGTCTAATTCCATATATCACTGGTCCTCCTATATTTTAATAATTTTTCAAAATCTTTCCAATTTGTATCAGTACAGGTCTTGATTGGCCTTCCTCGCTTTTGACGCCAATCACCATAGGATTCGCCAGGTAGCAAAATATGCAATTCCTGTGGTGGACGGAGAACGTGCCTAACCAGCGAAGACAACGCTCTTTGATAACATTATTAATGGGTAGTTGAGCGAAAGGAAATACTATCATATTCGGTTTTATCTGCTCGATGGATTCGTAAAATTCATCTTTATGGGGACTTCGCGACAGTTCCATAAAAGTTTCATCAAAAACCGGAAAAGCATTTCTAGCTGTCGTTATCCTGTTACAATTTCATCCTTTAACTGGCCATTTGGGATTAGAGTGGATCCAAGATATTTAAAGTCGTGCACTTCCTCAACTGGCAATAAGTTTATAAAAAGAGGAGGCATTTTGTCAGCTTCATGTATATAAGAGCTTTCGTTTACATTCACTGTGAGTCCGATTCTCGTTGGTTACCGACATGTTAGCATTATTTGCATTTCGTCTTGTCAGCAAAAAGGATTACATCTATATATTCAAGGTCTGTGATGTTATGCTCTGGACTGATATATACACCTCTTGAATGCCGACAAGCGAAGCCCATTATCCAGTCTATTACATAGTTGAATATTGTAGGGGAAAGGACGCAGCCCTGGCTGACACCACTTCTTACTTTGAGTCTATCATTCACCATGTATACAGAGCTGTGACTGGGTATGCTGATAAAATACCTTCTTTAATGATCTCGGGGACCATTATTCCATCACTTTCCAGAGCGCTGCTTTATCAATTGAATCAAAGACAGCTGTAAAATCGATAAAGCAAGTGACGGTGGGTTGCTGGTATTTTTAAGCGATATTTTAGCACATTTCTTAGCGTAAATATCTGGTCAGCATAACCCCATCTCGGTCTGGATCCAGCTTTGTTAAGACGTATTTTGCTATCTCGTGTTGCCATGAGTCTGTTTAGCACGAGGGAAGCGAATTTTTCCGGAGATGTCTAGTGGGTTGATAATTGTCGCAGTACGTCCTGTTACCTTTCTTAGGAATTGGAAGCAGAATAGCTTTACTCTTCTGGTATTTTTTTCTTTTGCCATGCCAGAGAATTTATTGAAGCCCAATTATGAAAGATAATGGGTAACATTTGAAGAGTTTGGCTATCTTCTCCGGGAATTTTGTTGGTCTTAATTTTATGGTCTGAGATTATTTCCTCTTCTACTGGCGGTTGCAAACGTAAGGCTCGATGAGCGAATCATTTATATCCGGGATAACAGATGGTGCATCGTATTTAAGTTTGGCCTCAAGAAATTCTTTCCATCTTCTGAGGCGATCCTCGACAGCTTTAATAGGCACCCCATTAATATCCCGTGTTATTTCACTGATCCCTTCTCGAGTTATAGTTGCTTTCTGATAAAGGTGAAATAATTATCTGAGCTCCATTCTCAAGGCCATATCGCTACAATAGCGTTTTCTATTCCGCCTTGCTATTGTCGTTGTAATTCTTCGAAGCACCCGATAATCAAGATCTCCTAATATTCGGACTTTGGCAACTTTTTCAGATAGTTGGATAGTTGCTTCCGATACCCAACTAATAGATTTCATACTAGTATACTCTAGTGTGGAAATGGCTGACTTTTGGAGATATTTCTTTAGTTGGGATCAGTATTCATTTGATATTCCAGAAAAATTATTGATAATTATACCATTGAGATGCTTAATTCAATATTTCGATTTGAAATACGCTCACCATCCCCAATTTTTCAGTTTGAGATAGTTGAAAGATCTTGGAAAACGACTTGTCAGTTTTAGTCTTGGCTCGAGCCATAATATGGCCTGATCCATGACGGTTATCAGCGCTCCAGTAACAAGTACAGATACAGACACCAAATAGATACAAGTACAGATGACTGTGATGACTAACCAATATATAGTCAATCTGATTGGAATATTGGTTGTCCGGAGAGTTCCACGTGACTAAATATTTTCTTCGATACAGAAAGCATGTGTTAGTAACAAAGAGTTCATGCTATTTGGCAAAAGGAAGAAAATATTCTTCATTTGGGCACTGGACACCCCTATGCCATATTTGCCAGTTACTAAATTAATCGTAACAGCATCATGACTTGCGCGCACATTCCATACCTTTACCATGGTCATCTGCATATAAAATTTGGTTATTTACTGGCTTCCATTCTGTCGAAGAGCGGATCGAGCTTTTTCAGATATGGCAATCGCTACACCATTTCGCCTGAGTTATCACCACAGTATAGCCAATATAGCCAATATTTTTGCTCGGACGAAGTTTAATAATTACTCGAATGCGAACATCAGGAAGACGGACTTCTGACAGACAATCCACATCCTTGGTATATAAAGAGGATGTGGATAGTAATTGCTTGGCTTTCAACATCCATAAGTTTTCTAGCTTTTCAAGCAACTATAGCCAGCATTTCGTTGCAGAGTGTTAGAAGATAGGTTCTCGCCTTTTCTCGCCTTCTTTAACGATTTAAAGTACTTATATCGGTTCACGAACAAATTTTATGGTTTTGTTTTGGAGTTTTATTGTTATTATTATACCCGGATTGCATATTTATCGCATGAACCGCCGGAAAAGTATCATGCGCAAACACGGACGTCATGTCAAAGAGACCCGACCCTTTCACCATAGAATCATAATTATCTTCTTCCGGGTAATAAATTTCATTTAAGGCTGATCAAATGTTTATTTTTTGATATTCATTGATTTTCTTTTTCATATTATATTTACGTATTTAGTTAAGTGATGCATTACCTGATGTAAGCAGTTCTGTTGGTGTTCTTGCTGATGATTCGAGAAATATTGTCACACTCATTGAAGAAGAATATAACAAAATTTCGCAAAAAATTATCATGGTAGATAATGCGAATTCTACTCAAGGACTTCGACTTTCTTATAAATCCAAATGTTTGCAGTGAGTAAAATCCATATAAAAAATTGCTCATTTCACTTCTTTTTCGTCCTGATTTTTTTGTATTTTGAAATTTCATTAAATATTTTCTAAGAACTTCACCCATGGTTCTAAAAAGATCTGGCTGAAATTAAAATTTAACGTTTATGCTGGCAGTTTGCCTTAAATCTTGCAATTATAGTGGCTATGCTCTGAAAGAAACCAATGTTTGTGAAGGAATCAAAGTTGGCGACGAGGTAACATTTGAAGTAACACTGGAAGCTACACATTGCGTAAAGCAACGAGATTTTGAACTCAAAATTGGCCCCAGTGGCTTGGATGAGACACTTGCTGTTGACGTTCACGTCCAATGCGACTGTGATTGTGAATCAAATGTAATTGTCTTTGTATTCATTTTTTTGTTTTTGTTGTTTCAATCTTCTGTGAAATGTATTTTTTAATAATTTAATTATTCTATGGATATAGGATTAAAGAAGATTTGATGTTAAGGAAAAAATTTAAAAAAGGAAAATTTATGGTAAAGTTTTATGGTACATTATATGGTTTCCATTTCTTCATATATGATTTTATTGTCGTTAAGTGATTTATCTTTGTATGATTTTAATTATGTCTGATGTTTTAGACAATAGAATATAGTCCTGTATGTCACGGTAAGGGTGATTTAGTATGTGGCGTTTGCATCTGCAGAGGAACGAATGTTGGACGCCATTGTGAGTGCGACGCTCCTGGACTTTCAACCGTTGCTCTTGATGCCAAGTGTAAAAGGTGAATTCAATACACCAATTAAGTCAAAAGTTGTATATTTAAAAAGTTGGAATATTATAAAAAGATTTCATGCCGAAGTGTTCAGTTTCTTGCTTTATTCTTTTCATCGAATTTCAGGACGAATGAAAGTGCCATATGTGAAGGTCGCGGTATTTGTAATTGTGGTGTTTGTGAATGCATTCAGCGTGATGTTAGTTTTTATTTCTGCAGCATAATTATTTTAACTTTATATCTGATTCCAATATTTTTTTATTTGTTGGTGATTATTGGCAGTATTATTGTGCTCAGTTTTCTATTTTATTTCAGAGTATTTTATTTCAGAGTTTTTCCTTTTGTTTGCATTTCATTGTTATTGTAGAATGTAAATGAGAAAATATCGGGTCAATATTGTGAATGTGATAATTTCAATTGTCCACGACACGACCGGAAAATATGTGCTGGGCATGGTACTTGTGATTGTGGGCAGTGCACCTGTGAGCCTGGATGGACTGGTTAACTTTTTTATCTTCATTAATGAAATTTTTGTTTCTCATATTATTGTACTTCATATTTTAATTTTATATTAATCTGGAAAATTATTTTAGGTCGCGCATGTGAATGTCCCCTCAGTTTGGATAGTTGTATGGCAGCTAATGGAAAAGTTTGTAACGGTCAGGGTGAATGTATCTGTGGTCGATGTAGATGTTTTAGTGATGGTCCCGGCAACCGATATTCAGGTCCGAAATGCGAAATTTGTCCGGTAAGTTTTTTTTAAAATTTTATTAAATTTAAATTTAAGGAATTATTCCAGCCAATTAATTTTGATTAAACTTTGTAGACTTGCCCTTCAAAATGTGTCGAACACAAGCCATGTGTAATGTGCCAACAATGGCAGACTGGCCCGTATAATGAAACTCAATGTGCTGATTGTCCTTTTACTGTAATAGCAGTCAAGGAGTTACCTGGTATGAAATTTTTGCTTTGTGTTCTTTTTGCTTTTCAACTTTTTTACTTTCAGATAATGATTTTGTTTCTTCAATTTTGATTTGGTGATAAGAAAGTTTTATTAAAAAATTTTTTATTTATTTGAAGATATTCTTCTAAACTCAATGTTTTTAAGTATTGAATGAAACTATTGAATGCCAGTTTGTGGATTCAGCTGATGACTGCACTTTTTATTTTCTGTATTTTCATGACGAAAGAACTGACAATTTAACGGTTTGGGTAAAAGAAGAAAAGGGTTCGTTCGTTCGTTCTCTTTGTACAAATATTTTTGGCTAATTTTATTCCCAATTGCTCTTAATTTTCTTTATAAAATCTCTTATTTATTAAATCTTACTTTAGATTGTCCACCACCTGTTCCTGTACTTGCCATAGTTCTTGGCGTCATCGCTGGTATTGTCATATTAGGATTGATATTATTGCTTGTTTGGAAATTGCTTACCGTGCTTCATGATCGTGCTGAATTTGCCAAGTTTGATAATGAAAGGCTTATGGCTAAGTGGGACACGGTTTGTTTTATTTTTGCTTTTGCTTTGATATTTTTTTAAATCTTTTTTATTTATCTAATATTATTTTTGGTGCTTAAACATTTTACATCTAAAAATTATGAATGGGAATTCATGCCAAACAGTAATACATAAATGGTTGGCTACTTCAATTTTTCATTGTAGAATGAAAACCCCATCTATAAACAAGCAACAACAACATTCAAAAACCCTGTTTATATCGGAAATTCGATGAAAAACAAGTGATATTAACATATTTTGTTAAATTTTAAAGGCCTTATTAGTTGCTTTGAGCTTATGCAATGCATAAGTATTTTTTTTCTTATTCGATTCATTTCAAAGTGCTTCGAAAGCGGTTAGATATTATGACGATATTCTTATGAGAAATTTAAATTTTTTACAAGTATTTGTGTATCACTTTCATTAAATTCGCTGACAAGCAAAAATTTTTTGCCATTTTTATAAAATTTAATTGGCAGACGCTAATAGACGCTACTTTTTTTGCTATCATAGCTAAGAAAATTAAATAATAACCGTATAGTTTTTATTATTTGCATTCATCTGATGCCATCTATAAGCTAACATATATTGGATCAATGTTTGCGGTTTTTCGGTTTGAAAATCTGAGTTGTGTTCATTTGATGGTTGGTAAAATTAACTTAAGTAAATAAAATATGAAATAAACTAGGTAATGAAGGTAAGAAAAAAACCGAATTGATTGATATAGGATTGATGGCTGACCAACCATATGCTTATTATTTTTCTGCTATATTGTTTTATTTTGTGAAGTTTAATTAACTTAATTTTTTATTTTGTTGATCGCTTTATATGAAATATTTTATTATTAATATTCGATTTTATTTTGACTCAATTTTACGAATCATTTCTGCCATAATATTTGTGTGCTTTCGTAATTTTGCAGTTACTTTATTCCAAATATTTTTAATAATAGCGTGATTAAAAAAAGCGGTTCTTTTTTTTTCTTCGTGGCATTTCAGTTCAATTCAGTTAATGGTGAGATTCAGTGTCAGGGATGTTGTTTAAATGTAATCACAATTATATATCTTACGTCAGTCCGTGTTGTCATTATTGGATATTGGTTATTCAGGCTATCTTTTCTATCATTCATTGATGATGGATAATAATTTAAATAAAATATTGATATAATTGAAAAAATATAATTTACTGTAAAATTTGAAGTGTTGAAATATTGCTGCTACAAAAAAATGCAAAGTTTTCAGTTTACTTTAAAAAAATTATTCTTAATTATCAACTAGTCCAGTGCATAATGCAATATAATATTGTTTATATTATATTTATATTAATGTCCTGTCCACTAAACACGTTCAAAATTGCAAAATTGCAAACGGAGAAAATTTATGAAATTTACTGTAAATTTGAAGTTGAATATTGCTGCTAAAAAATGCTATAAGAGTAATTATTAATAAATAATGCAAAACAAAGACTTTTTTTTAAATTATTGTTTAGTCATGTGGAGAAGATTCGGCAGTTAATCATTATTCTAAATAAGTAAACCATAAACCTTGTTCACTCAAAAAATTTATGCCCATACACATTCATTTTTTATTTAAAAAGCAAGCATGGACATGGAGAACGAAGAATACAATTTGCTTTCAACTGTTAATAAATATATCAAAATATTTTTTTAATGGTGATTATGATGAGTGAAACTTTTGGCTAGCATTTGTCTACACATAATTTATAAAGAATATTTATAAAATATAAATAAAACAAAAGGTTATAGGTAGATAACCATTTGTATTCCAATTTGTGGGGAACTCTTTGATGAAGGATTATCTGTCGATGACAGCTAAACCAAAAATGATGAGTGCTCGTAAAAGAAGAATATAAGAGAAGAATAAGAAAGAATATAAGAAGAATAGATAAAATTTATTAGTGGAATTTATTGCTTCCAGAATACAATTATCAGCCAGAGAGAACAGGAGATTGGATAACATCGAACTAAAACTCATTCCCACCAACTCTGAAAAGAACACGTGAACACAAATGTAAAATAAAAATATATGCAGTACACCAGAAAACTAGGACTGTAGATGGATTACAAATGGTTTGCAGAAAATATTTCAAGAACTGTATCATTATTAATCCTCAGTACCTTTGTTTTTTTTTTTTTTAAGAATCCTCACCATTAGTGGTGAAACTCGCTCAGCTGGCTTGTCACATTAGACAAATATGACCGGGAGTTCCTTGGCGATAGAAGTACAGGTGAGTCGCCAGAATTTTTATACAGGTTTACTCCTGCGGGGAATAGAACCTCAGCATCGGCGTTCCAAATTGAGCAACAACCCACTGAGCCATTCTATCCCCTTAATTAGTTTCTTTATTAGTTTTTTTCTATTTTTAGCTATACGGTTCTAAGAGTAAAGGAAAATAAGAGTGAAGAGTAAAGTAAAGAAAAACACTATAAATGTTTAAGAATCACCGGAATCAGGAGTAAACCTATAAACATTACGTATCGCTATACTGATTCGAGTCCACTGTCATCTTGCCTTTCCCCAAGTGATGAATTTGGCGAAAATCTCGTTGTACCCGATTTTTGCAATGCATTTCGCTCGAACAGTGGTCCTGTTACTGTGGTGTCGATTATTGTTGGAAAACCACTAGCATTTTTGCTACTATGATGATAATATGGCAGTGGTCGATATTGCAATCCGTGTTCCCATGGAATTTCACATCTAAAATAAATCAAGTGTGATGGAAACATTTTCAATTCAGTTCATTCAAAAACTGTATGAATTAAGGTGAGTCATTTCACCTACTCATCTTTTCTGACTTTGATGAATGATTCTATAACTTATAATCTAAACTGATTTTTGAATTATTCATTGTGAATGATAACATTAGATGAACCATAATGATTTATACAAGATTGTCCTTACGATCCTTTTACAAGGGAAATAATTATCGAAAATTTTACCTGCTTTGCTCGCGATCTGATGATGCTCGAAGCGGATGAACCGTATGCAGTTGATCGTGATAAAGTCGTTGCTTGCTCGATAACATTTTTGATTTGCGTTTTTGGAAAAGAAAGGCTATGATTAAACATGCAAAAGATGCCGACAAAATGGCGCAAAATACAGATAGAAATATGAGCGCATAAAAATAATGATCTCGAATATTAAAAGAACGCAGAAAATCTAATCCTGCTTCTGGCTCCATATACTGAATTAAAATAAGTTTTACTTCGCAAAATTACTCGAAGAATTCGAAATATTTCAATATTTATAATGTGGTACTTCTTAAAAGCTGAACCTTTGGCTCTCCTGATGAAACTTAACATTGCTCTGCTCAGTAAAAAAAACTACAAATTTTCCTCCTTTTCTAATAGAAATCTTTAAACCATTTCTGGTTTGGCTGGAATCTTTTTGTCAAAGAGTCAGACAGAAATGTAAGTGGATCCACAGTATTTATATTTTACTTTCAGTAACAGATTTTCATTCCAAGGGAAAGGAATCGAATCTACGATAGATGATGATTTCAGTCAAAGCAACACGCCACCCGATTGTTCTGAAGCTGATCGAATATTTATGAAGAATATCTCTTGTTTAGATTTTTGAGAGATTTTGGGCTAAAAAACTTGGAATTGAAAAAAATTTGCGTTTGGGCTTTTGCTATAATCATTGCGTGGCTTACAGTATTTTATATTCTAACGAATTTTTATGATTTTTCTAAAAGCATATAGATTTGAAAAATTAGAAAAAAACCTTACTTGTTCAATGATATTTATACTTTCATGATCTGAACACCACGGGCAACGCGTATCGTACCGTTCGATTGCAATTGTTGCATTATAACATTTCCCCTTTAGCTCAATGATCATTTTACCCAATTGATTTATATTTTCTATTTGATTAAATGAATGAACATTTCGATTCATTGTCTGAAGATCATTAATTTTATCAAGAAATCAATTTTTTGATAAAACTTAGTTTTTTGATAAATCTAGTAAGTGAATAAGTGGCCAATGCAATTTCTGGTTATGTTCCACTGGCTGTTAGGACAGTTAGAAATTTTTTCCAGACCTTCCCCTCAAATTTCAATTTATTCTATTATTGAATTTATGAAATATTGAGAAATGAATCTGCAAGCATTACATAAATAAATAAATCTTCTTCTACTAATGAATTTATCGTTCTTGGTTTAGCTGGCTCCAGTGATTCGAAGATGAAATCTTTCTGCCAGAGAGTCACCCAGGGGTGCAGATGACTCTTATGCTTTATTTCATTTTTAATGACAAGTTTATTCCTATGCTTACGGGTTAACATACGCGTAATATTCATGAGACTTGAACTCAATTGACTTGATTATTGATTATTATACACCATTAAAAACAAATAAATAATAAATATAACAAATAAATACAACAAACTTTATTGTTCCTATAGATTCGAAATGGATCAGTTGAATCGCATACTCGCGGGAATTTATAAGTCGGATCAGTACCAATTACCTCACAACTAATTACAATTGCCTCCGGTGATCCATGGCTCCAGTGAGTTGAGAACGGTCGCGAACTATCCTGAAATTTTTAGAAGTGTTGATTCTTCCCTAGATTAACAACGGTCATGAGTTAGCCCTTCATGGCTCTTTCTTAAATATTGCTTTGTGTTAAATGAACGTGAAATGAATAATATTACAATGATTATAAAGAACTAGATCGAACATTAAAAATGCCTAGATCAAAGAAAATGGTTTGTTTAAATAAAACATTGGTACTTTTGGGGCATTGAGAAAAACAGCAGCGGTTCTCTCTAATAAGAATCCGATAAAATGATTACCTGAACGATATTCGATGTCACAGGCCAACTCGTCGAAATTGTTTCATTATTAATGGTATTAAATTCATTTAGGTTGAAACGTGGTTCAGCACATCCTGCTGTCGTGAGACAGCCTTTTCTCCATTCAACACTTAATAACTCAGCGGTGAGCCAAAACGATGCAGTATTTTCAGTTAAGGATAATGAGGTAGAGAAGCAACTTTCAATTAAAATAATTAAAAGTAGAAGAATATTTCTTAAAAACTGCATAGCTGAAAAAAATCTATATTAGGATGAAAACTCTTCAATCGGAATGTTTAACAGAAAAGTGGTTAAGTAGGAGAGGATAAAATGATATTAAATAAGATAACAAATTCAAAAGTCCATATAATATTGGGTAGCAGACAAAATGTGCGCAGAGGTGTGAATAATGCAAACTAGATGCAAAAGTAAAAAAAATTATTTCCAGGAAATGAGGCAAAAAGTGTCATATGAATTTGTGTTACTCTCATTCTTAACATTTATAAATATTAAATAATATTAAATATTAAATGGACTGAAAGAATCGAAAAGCCTAGGTTTTATTGGTAAACCACGTGCTATTAGCGGGCCAAGTGTATTTCTATCTTCAAATAAGTCGTTGAATTTTAGTCCTAATTAATAGCCGGCGGAGCTAGCCTAGTCAATAACTGTGAGAGCCAACTCGTTTACTTTTACTCATCTGCATGCCATATCAATAGGACTTTCCAGAAAAAAGGAATAAAAATAAATGAAAATATCTTAAAAACCGATTAAGTAATCAAATCGAAGCAACAGATATGAAAATTAGACTCCAAATCTTTTTTTTTAAATCAAATTCATTCATTAAAAATTCTATCTAAAATTTTAAAAATTTAAGTTTAATTAAATCTGTTCAATAACTATCAAAAATTAAATTAGCAAATGGATTAATGCAATTAAATGCAAAACTTTTTTTATAAAAGACCAAATTATATCACATTTATCCAATTCAAAAGGCAAAATAGCTTAAAGATCCCTTTTTTTAACGATAATCTGCTCTCTGAAATAAATTTCATAAATCCCCGTTTCATACATACATATTTTTTTACTCCTACCTTTTGGATTTTTTTCAGAATTGCGAATTTAAGCTTTAGATTTCTCTTAGTCGAAATTCATTTCCATTGACTTAATTGTTGTTTAAATGGAGAATTTAAGTGATTATCTCATTCTAAATTGTCGACCTTCAGATTTATTTATTAGGTTCCTAGCGAATTAACACCAAAACTTAACTTAAATCTTTGGAATATAGATTATATTTATATAAGTAAATTCTCGAAATTATTTTCATGATTAGATATAATACCTTATCAGGTCAGCATTCAATCATTTCCATCATCGAGATAGGTGTTAATTTAAAAAGAGTTGATTGTTTATCGATAAAAAATCGAAAACAGAAAATCTGCTGACTGTCATGGTTGGGCTGGGTAAATCGAAGCTTCAAGTCATTTTGATAAAATTTAAATTTAACGTCGCCAGCCATTCATTTCACTTCCGCTCATTTTAAATGAATTATGCTTTAAATGGATAATTATTTTATCAAAAAATTGATTCTAAAATTTGTTTAGTCTTACTATCGAAATTGAAATAATTTGCACAAGAAACACGAATTTTTATCAAAAATAAACTGTCAAAAAAACGATTAAATTAACGAGCGCTCTGTAATACAACGAAAAGAATTAGGCGCTACCTACCATTTCCAATCAGGCGGCCCAGTATTCATCATGATTAGAAATTTTTAACAGATAGCCGCTTGGCAGCACAGATAGGTCGCCAGCACCACCCGGATTTGTTAATGTACGGTCCCACCAAACCCTTCCCTCTTAATGCAATAATCTGAGCCATTATCCATTCGACTAACTTGCTATCGACTCCATCAAATGAAAATTTCAAAAATAGAACAAGAAAAAAGAGTCGAAACCCGACAATTTAAGAGAAATCGGGAGAAAAAATTTTTTAGAAAAAATATTTCGTGGAGAATTTATGAATTGCATATCTTATTGAACAACTCGATGTGAGTGAATCTTTCGATGAAAGGTCAAGCATTTTCGATTTCCATTCATCTCCAATTCACTTTTTAACAGCATATCTGCCGAGGCGCAATTAGTGCTTATTTCCAGATTCAGAATTGCTTCATTGAGACTTATTCCTTTGGGCATTGTTGATTACTGTCCGAACTGACGAGCGTCGAAATTTTTAAAATTTTATACAATCAGTGATTATGACGGATGGCGAGTGGGTCCAATCAAGACTTAGACTGATGCACTCAGGAGAGGCCTTAAGGGCGTAGGCGCTTCAACGATTAATGGGCTTAGGAAGTCGAAAAAAAGTGGCTCTAATTAATTTAATTTCAACCATGGTTAGATGAAATTTATTTTGCTCTAATGCTCAGTGCAAACAGCCAAATCAAAAACAATAGAAGAAAAAGAATTACTGATGAATTCTCCTTGAATAATTCCTTCCAATTTTTCTTCTTAGCTGTTCATTTTCCAAATATTTTATAAACGAATTGCAAGTTCTGTAAGTTCTAATAGCGCGCACCGTTATCCATTTCAGTCTCATTCAATTGTCTCGATCGATATTTTTTAAGGTAAATTTCCTTCGTGAATACTAAAAATAGAATACTCAGAATATATAATTATCATATAATCACCTACCTAATCACACAATTATAGCTTTTATGCATTTGTCCAAAAAAAATTCTATCTAATTCTTCCTAAATTTGTTATATTACGGATTTTCATACTGTACAGTACCCATTCAGTTTAGAGTTTTCGCTAAAACTCGGTCAATTCACGAAAGTGATAATAAAAACTCAACGAATATTAAAAAAAAATTCGATGGATTCGATGGATAAATCAGCATTATTTCTAAATAGTCAGTACTTTGAGCATGTAAAAGATAGCAAATGATCATTTTATCATTTTTTTCTCATCTGCAAACTCGTGCTTTTTCCTTAATTTCGCTTAACAACCAAACGAGAATTGAGAGCGATAGGGAAATAAACAATCTAAAATAAAGAACCATACGTTAAAATTTCTGAGGAAAATTACCGGCATTCTTATTATTTCTTAAATTTTTCATGAAAATCAAATAGCACGGTTTAGGAATTGGATGGCTTAGTGGGTTGCTCAATTCGGGGCGCCGATACTAAGGTTCTATTCCCAGCAGGAGTAAACATGTCCAAGTAATGCTGGCGACTCACCTGTACTTCTATCGCAAAGGGATATTTGTCCAATGTGACAAGCAATTAAGCGAGCTTGACTAGTAATTAAGAAATCTATTAAGTTTCACCATGATTTTAACCAAATTATGTCAGCATATTAAATATGGTTAACATTGGCATATTTGTTCTTCCAAGCACCCATCAATTCTTGTTTGGCAGAATTCATTGGCTATTAGGATAAGACTTCTTACATTAGAATCAACTGATAACTGATTATTCACTTAATCTATCATAAAATTTGGACACGTCAATATATTGGTGCATACATAATTAATTGTTTTAACATGCAAATCAAATGATGCTTGGTTTGTTATATTTTCGCTGCCAATCCTCTTTTTTGAACAGATGGCTAAAAGAACTTGAAAACATGCAAAAGATGTAAATTATTTTGGGCTAAAGGCCTTGATAGTGTATGCCGTGAATTAATGAATTTCTGCTTGTTTCAGTAATATTAACCTTCCTCCATCTCTCTGCAAGAAATTGAGCAATGAATACACCGTAAATGACTAACTTTTTATTTTCTAACTTTTTGTTTAATGTCGCCAGACGTAAAGTTTCTTTTTCTTCTAACACCCTCTCACCATTACTGGTAAGGCTGGCTCCAACGGCTATAAGGGTAAGACATTAAACGATAAGTAAAGCATAAATTTTTATTAAAATTCGGATGAACTGATGAAATAATAAAAGAGAAATAATTTTATATTGAAATATTTTATATTTATTATTTTATTGAAGCTATACCTAGCAATTATGAAAAAAATACAAGCATTACAAACGTTGTGCTGAAGGACTAATAACTTAGTTTTTGGAAAAGACAAAAAAGTGGCATTTTGATTATTTTAAAAAGTAAAATGCTACGAGCAAACAATAAAAAAAGTGGTTGGATTGATGCGGTCATGAGAATGGATTTTGGAAGCCCCAATCTACAATTTAAATGCAAAATTTGAGACCTATTTTTCTTTTTTTGAGTCTGAGGAGTTACCAAGTTCAACGTATAATTCAAGAACTTCAACGAAACATTTACGCGCAGCAATTTGCAGAAGCCCTTAGTTAAAATCTTTACAGTTCTACAGTTAAAATCTTTCTCCAATGAAAATCTTCCAGAACAACTTTTAAGAAAAATCGCACATCTTCTTTCGATCTCTAAACTAATAACGCAAATAAATCAGTTTATCTCTACCTAGTGTGCCACATTTACGCACCAAATTTCTCGATTTTTTTTTCCAACAAATTCAATTGCTTAACATGAATCTTATTTAAATTTTTATTTTTTTTTCTCTTCACTCGTATAAATAATAAATTTTTTGCATGAAAATTTTCGATATGGTTGGTGAATAAATTGAGAAACCAACTGAACCGCGTAACGTATGAATAATTTTTCCTTTATTCCAATGATTTTAGGATTTTCGCAAATTTATTTTCAAATTTATCAAATTTTTATACGTGATTGTTAAAAAAATTTTGCTTTTAAATATAGCGAAGAATTAAATTATTGCCAAAAGAATTAAATTCACCAGCAAATCGCTGAATAGAGATATTGTTCATATTTCGGTAAATCATGAAATTCTTATTTCCTCTTCAAAGAAGAACTTTAGAAAAGGAAAATTTCGGTAAAAGAACAAGAAAATGGTTAATGCAAAGAGAACCATTTGCAGATAGGATAATAAGCGAGCGATATTGCTTTGAACCACCATATTTTCTGCCTCCATCTCTTGAAAAAGTAAACGTACCATTAAGAGTAAAAACCGAGCAGTGCTGAAAATTCGCTTCCATTCCCAAGTGGTTCAAAAATCTCGTTTCTCTTAAGAAAGATTCCACTCTAATACTTAATGGAACCATCCAAACCAGAAATTGTGGGCGTTACTAGAAGAAATATGCCATAAATTCATAATAAATTTTTTGCAACCATAGATTTAATTTTAATTTGCAAAGTGCAAAGAATTAATATCATCGAAAGAAAAAAAGAATGAATTTATAAAGTTAAACA